ATGGCAAATGTCCTATAATGCAGACAGAGCTGTTCAGATCCACTATCAGTAAGGAAGTGTTCCCTTCCCTGTCAGGGGACCATTACTGGCATGGTATATGGAATCACAAAAAAGATACTGTAAAACTGATTTTTTCATTTTTACAGCTCTGAACTATTCACTAATGAGGGGACATAAGATAAGTTAGTTAACTATACCCGTTTAAAATACATGAATGGCTAGCTATCATTTAACCCTTTCCCTGCCAGAGGATTATTGCTTTATTGTTCACCTATTTGCCAGAGGATTTTCAAAGAAATTACTATATTATTAATTAATATAATTATTATTATTTGTTATTAGTACTATAATATATTATATATGTTTCCAAATCTGTTAGTATAATAATAATTATTGTCGATGGTATAATTTTCTTTATATTTATTATTATTTTTATTATTATTAATTAATTTATTATTATAACTATTATTTTTATAGAAACGGCTAAAGCCGTCCATATGGCAAATACGCCGAAAATAACAGGGACGGCTTAAGCTATGGCAGTGAAAGGGTTAATCAAATCACTAAACGATCTAGCTTAGAAGTTGTTAAAAATTTATATGATAAGGATATTTTATTAACGTTTAGAAACAATTTCTATTTTGCGTGCGTTTTAGCGTGCGTATATCGTGTTGCGTATTTCGTTTTGCACGCGTTTGCGTATTTTGTTTCATAAAGGGTGTGTGTAACGTGTGTTCGTATAGCATGTAACGTGCATGCGTTTTTTCCGCAACGTGCGTTTTGCGTGTTAACTGAATCGCTCACCCTACTGTATCACATACAAAAAATAAAGACCGTTTAAAGTGAAATAAGAGTAGTTTTTATACGCCCGTTTGAAAAACGGGACGTATTATGGGAACGCCCCTGGCGGGCGGTCGGGCGGGCGGGCGGCGTCCAATTTTGTCCGGAGCATATCTCCTACATGTATGGAGGGATTTTAATGAAACTTCATAGAAATGTTCACCACTATGAGGAGCAGTGTCGCGCACATGAACCAGGTCTCTAGGTCAAAGGTCAAGGTCACACTTAGAGCTCATTGAAAAATGCTTGTCCGGAGCAAAACTTCCACATGTATAGAGGGATTTCAATATTACTTGGCACAAATGTTCACCATTGTGAGGCGGAGTGTCGCGTGCAAGATTCAGGTCCTTGCGGCCAAGGTCAAGGTCACACATAGAGGTCAAAGTTTCAGATAAAAATATGAAGATGTGTATATGGACCATTTAGTCATCATTTATTGAGGGATTGTAACACAAATGGTCATTATCAAGACTATGGCTGTGATACATATAATTTAGGTCAATATATACAAGGTCAAGGTCACTAAAAGATGATGAAATATCCAGATTTTGTAAATAGAATTTAATCAAAAAGGGAGACAACAAAGTTATTACTTTGTTCATAAATGACTTACACAATTACTCCCCTTGATCTATTTTCAATTTCAATTCTAAAAATAGAAATTAAATCAAAGGGCATGAAATAATCCTCTTTCTTGGACTTGAGTATGTTCTAAAGAATGTAACATTTATTTACACATGTTTCATTCATTGGTCAAGATTCTTAACTGTGATAACTATGGTGTTCTGTAGACTTTGGTATTTGTTCATAAAGATCATACAGTAATTACCTTATCAAATGTAAATACTTTCTCATAGAAATTTAATTATATTTTGATTTTCAAGTAAATATCAGTTCAGCTCATTCAAAGATTAAGAATTGTAATGAAATGTATTTCCCTAGAATAAAATCTTAAATCAGAATTTTTTAGTTATTAAATTACATGTACTTTTTATACGCCCGTTTAAAAAAAGATAAAAATATGAAGATGTGTATAGGGACGATTTAATCATCATTTATTGAGGGATTGTAACACAAATGGTCATTATAATGACTACGGATGTGACACATGTACTTTAGGTCAATATATGCAAGGTCAAGGTCACTAAAAGATGGTGAAATATCCAGATTTTGTCTGGAGCATATCTCCTACATGTATGGAAGAATTTTTATAATACTTTATGGAAATGTTCACCACCATGATATGTATTGCTCCATGCATGATCCAGGTCTCCAGGTCAAAGGTCAAGGTCACACTTAGAGCTCATTGAAAAACGCTTGTCCGGAGCAAAACTTCTACATTCATAGGGGGTTTTCAATATAACTTGGCACAAATGTTCACCATTGTGAGGCTGAGTGTCGCATGCAAAATTCAGATCCCTGCGACCAAAGTCAAGGTTACACATAGAGGTCAAAGTTCAGATAAAAATTTGAAGATGGCTATAGGGACCATTTAGTCATCATTTATTGATGGATTGTAGCACAAATGGTAACTATCATGACTACAGGTGTTACACATTTAATTTAGGTTAATATTTGCAAGGTCAAGGTCACTGGAGATGATTAAATATCCAGATGTTGTCCGGAGCATATTTTCTACATGCATGGAGGAATTTTAATGTTACTTTTATAGAATTGTTCACCACCATGAGACGTAGTGCCCTGCACATAAACCAAGTCTCTAGGTCAAAGGTGAAGGTCACAGTTAGAGCTCATAGAAAAACACTTGTCTGGAGCAAAACTTCTACATGCATAGAGGGATTTCAATATAATTTGGCACAAATGTTCATCATTGTGAGGCTGAGTGCCGTGCATAAAATTCAGGTCCCTGCGACCAAGGTCAAGGTCACACATTCTGTGCATATCTTCCCTATTGATTTGTTTTTAGGTTCATTTAACAACACAGAGCCAAGAATAAAAACTTGCTTGCTAGATAACACTTATCCATAATGCCCCCATCTCCATCTAAAGCTTTTTCGTAAACGGGCGTATTTTGTGACTATGGCACCCTTGTTCATTTATACGCCTATAGTATAACGCTACCATTTAGCCATCTTTACATAATGTTTTTATAACGCTAATGAGGTCATGTCAAATTATATGCATGGATGTGCAATACCATATTTACTGAGTGGCAAAATCGGCACTGGTGTGTGATAAAGCATATTAATACGGGGAAGTCAAAAACCGCGGGTCCGGGCTTTGACTTGCCCGGCTATAGACTACATGTGTATATTTAAAAGAAAATCAAATAAAAAACAATTAAAAAATATATAGAATTCTATACCTATCAATGAAATTTTCAGTGTCAGTTCTAGTCGGGGGCCACCATTTACAATGTAACTCAATGATAAAAGGCGGGGTATTCCGATAACGGAATAAATCTCAACTTTTCGGATAAATAATAAACGTCGAGTGTTCCGAGTGAAAAGGGAAGCGGTGCATGTAATACCGAATGACAATTTTAAAACGGAAAGAAAGAAAGGAATTTTTTAACGACTTCCCCGTTCATAGGCTCTGCCTAATTTCATATTACATATTAAGCGCAGATCAATAAGTTTCAATTTTAAGTGATATGAAAAATATTTTCTGTTGTGCTGTCTTTGTAAATCCAATAATTTTCCTCATTTTTTTCCTCTTGATTACAGTTTCAGACCTAAAATAAAATTGCGTTCTTAATATTTATATAGATCTATACTAATATATTGTAATGTCCTAGAAATTTTACCTTTTTTAGTGATTTCGCTGATTATTTCTACTTTCACTTTCGTTTTGAGAAGCTTTTACTGGCGACAAGACAGTAAATCAATTGCGGTGTCCTAAAGAAACATACAGGACATCAACTTAAATCTACGTATTGTGCCAGCAATTTAATCATTCTTGATTCTGGAAGCTTTTCCTTTAATGTTATCCATTTCCCTCAATGTTATCCGTGGTAGAATCCTGTGTTTTTAATCTGTTTTCGTGACTTCTGTCAAAATAGTTAATTCCTTTATTTTACACTCAAGATTATATATTTCGATTGTTTATGATGCAGCCTCACTTAATATATAGATTTGCCACATAAATCCATCTGAATTTAATTGTTACCACTGTATATTTATAAAAATTTGCAATGAATTTTTCAATGTCGGCCATTTTGGACTATTACGTAGAGATTACGTAGTGAATGCAAGGGATAGTTCTTTATCCAGTTGCGTATAAAAAGGAACACTTTACATTAACTTTTTTACTTTCGAAATTAGCGCATGATAGCTTATAAATATATCTAAAAATCATTTGTTGAGGCTGTGACAAAAATTTATTTCGGTGCCAGGTTGAGTGCATTTCAGTTCTTACATAAACTCGTTTAAAATACATTTCTAGCTACCTTACAGTATAGATCTACATGTATATGATGATCAAAATTTATCGCTTAAACGTTCTACATGTAGCTAAAGTTGTTAAAAACTTAAAATGATTACGATGTTTTAATAAAGGTTTAGAAACGTTTTCATTTTGCGTGCGTTTTAGCGTGCGTATATCGTTTAGCGTATTTCGTTTAGCGTATATCGTTTTGCGTGCGTCTGCGTATTTCGTTTCGTTTTGCGTGCGTATAACGTGCGTTCGTATAGCGTGTAACGTGCGTTCGTATAGCGTGTAACGTGCGTTTTGCGTGTAAACTGACACGTTCACCCTACTGTATCATTTAATTTGATTACACAAAACAAATTATAAGGTTACATATCTAGCAACATAATGCGGCCCACATTTCAACGCAATAAGTACATTACGTGACATTATGTCCATTATTTCTTTCTTCCGAAGTATCGCCCATGTGATCAGTATTTATCATAGAGAATAAGAGTCAATGTCTTTTTTTACAAGACAGATTTCAGTTAAAATTTATAGGCTCCCAAGATAGGTACAGTGATTGGATGATTGAAAGTAACAGGTGCTTGTAATTGCATCTAATTGGAACACAATGAATTGTATAGGCTTGCAAAGACATGGTTACAGATCAAGCCAACAGTGCAACATTCTTCAATTTTGCCATTTTAACATTTTTTGAAAGTTTCATTTAAGAAAAAAATAAATTAAAATAAATGTTTATGGGTAGCAAAACAAAATAAATCCCCAAAAATAATCAACTAGTTTTATTCTCCTCTTTACTTCAACTATATACATGTAAACATTACTCTCAACATTCTAGACATAACACATTAAAATACATGTATTACATATTGCATTGTTTTACAGTATAATTCAAACAGTTACTAATATTACAGTCTCTCAAAGCAGTCATATTTTCAATGTAAAATATGCAAGTACAACAATTGTCCATGCAAAAAGTATGGTATTAATTGCTGGTAATACAAGTAAGTCTTTTGTATAATAGTTAATACATTGCATCATTCTATATATGCTAAATTAATATTACATACACAGTGCAAAGAAGAAAAAAAAGAGACTTTGATAAAGTGATAAAAAATGCTTTGAAATAAGCACCTTTAAGCTAAAATCAATAAAGGCAACTTTGGATAAATTATCTAATTTCTATTTTATATTTATCATATTATATTTCAACAAAATTGTATGTAAACAAAAATAAAAACTGACATTAAACACTGACTAAAAACAAATTTCAAAAACAATTAAGTGAAAAGCTGAATATATAAAAAAATTCATCACAGTTTTATCAAGTATATTAATCATGCAAAGTAAATAAATAGTTAGAAATATGTAAACAACCAACGACATATTGCAGTATGAAATAAAAAAAAAAATACCACAAACTCTGTTATAACTATTTATCAGGAGAGACAACTCTTCATGTGAAAATTCTCTTCCATATTATGATTGTCTACCTTACATCTTCAGTGTAACAAGTTACAACATAAAAAAATAACAACATTTTCATTTTTTGCATATAAATAATTTTTTGGCCAAAAAATTTTAACAGTCAATAGGTTGGTAAACAAAATCATTAAATAGCTATATCGGATCTATATCTCAGGAAAGATAACTCTAAAAGTCAGATTTATTCTCCCAGATCTATCATGGTATTCTCTTGGAATTCGATGCTGAAAAAAAATGTTTATCATTATTAACATTTCACATAGAAATCATATATGTATTATCAATTAACTATAAAATTCTTACATACATTCATCTCTTTATATGCTCATATAAACATTTCTCAGAAAAAGAATACCCAATTTTAAGCTGCATGCCTCCAGATGAGCCAAAATATTTCAAAAAAATTTAACTTGAGAAAAATATACTTAGATTTTAAGAAAACTAAAAAGATTTAAGCTTCAGGTAATAATTTACAAGTTGATCGATTAAGGACTGATTTTGCAGTATTCTACTGCAATACTAATGCAGTAACTAAGGGCTATTTTGCTTATTTTGACTGTCTTTTTGGTAATTTTTGTGGATTGCAAGCGCTGTTTGCAATGAGTAAATTATTTTCTTTGTTCACTTCACACTATTTTATATTTAAATACATTTTCAAAATTTTCATGAAAATAAGCATGAAACTAGAGACATGCTGATTTTAATGAAGTAAAGATAATTATACATGTACTTGATAAGCTAATAGGCAAACAAGTGTAAAAGAAAATTGATTATTTACATGTTAATATATTGTTTAAAAATAAACTATTTAAAATTGAATAGAAATATTTTTAACCTCACCTGCCAGTCATCTTGTGTAGACCCTTCCATAATTAACAATGATCCATGTGTGAGTGGTACATCTATATGTTGCATGTAGGTATAATCTCCCTTTTCAATCTAAAAATATGAAAAATCATGTTATATAAATTTCGCAATAATACACTGTATCTAGACAAATTTCTTATATGAATACAAGACTTGTGGAATGCATTCAGGAAACATGTAGAACACAAACAGAGCACCTGTGGTACACATACAGTACACCTGTGGTACATATACAGTACACCTGTGGTACATGAAAAAAACATCTATGGTACACATACAGAACATCTTTGGTACACACCCGTCCCTAGATTTGCCACTTAAATGCCACCCTTTTCAATGGTGGAGTATTTAGACAATTTTCCACCAATTATGCCACCAAAATGCCACCAAAACATGAAAATGGTGAAAAATTTGAGCAGGACTGATGGTATATAATTCCAGTTAATTCCACCTTTTTTACACTTAATGCCACCAATGAGTGGAAAGTTGGTGGAGTATTTAGACAAACTTTCACCATTATGCCACCTTAGGGTGGCAAACTCATTTACCACTACATGCCACTTGCTTCCACTAATTGCCACCATCATGGTGGAAAGATGGTGGAGTATTTAGACGAATTTCCACCATTATGCCACCATTGAGTGGCAAACTCATTTTCCACAAAACGCCACTTATTTCCACCTTTTGCCACCAATAGGGTGGAAAGTTGGTGGAGTATTTAGACACTTTTGAAGTTTTCTACCATTTTTCCACCACAAAGTGGCAAATTCAGTTTCCACTAAATGCCACCTATTTTCACCCTTTCAGAAATTTTCCACCTTGTGGGTGGCAATAGCTGGAAACTGCTTAAAAGTCACCCTGTACCCTAAAAGAAAAACAAACAAATTTTAAAAATAATCCTTTTTAATGTCTCCATATGAAATTATTGTCTCAAAAAATAGCAACACATTAGTCCATTTATTATCTTCATTTTATCTTCCTATTCCTGGATGGTTTGAGGAGGACTGCAGAATCACCCTATGGATTTCAGTCCTTTGGGTTGTCAGCCACTTTTCCAGCGCACAATCTAAAACAAACAAATATTATGAATAATTGTTACATGACTATTGGATATTTCTATATTCAAGTTGAGTGCATATATGTGATTAAAACCTTAACAAAACAGCATTGCAGACTTGGAAGAATCAGACTTTTCTTATTTATCAATACTCCAAGCCAGAAAATATACGCAGAATAAAAAATGATATTTTCATTCAGTTCATTAGTTACCTTTCAAGAACTTAAGTTTTGCCTTGTCTGCACAAGCAGGTCTGGCGTCAGACTCTCTGTTCCATTTCCTCATACCAAACAATGAGCCGCCTTTAATCTCCTCTATATTGAATAGCATTCTGAAGAGCCTTGTTGTACCTTTCTCATTTGAGGCATAGTGCCTCAGTTCTGCCATCACTTGGTCCTAAAATATAATTATCAATATCCAATAAGTAAAGACAGAAAATGAAACACGGTATATGTATACAACTCCAAAATTTTAAAATAAGAAAGTAATAAAGAAATACAACACGTCAACATCAGTGCAGGTTAAGTAATTTAATAATCTTCCAGTTTCAGTTCTTAACGAACCTTCATCAGGATAAATATTTGACAAAATTTTCAAACTTAGGTGTACAAAAACTCTAAAATATGTAAAACTAAATGTAAATGCAAATTAAAGTGTCATAAAGAGTTTGAATAAAAGTAGGTTTGTAAATAGTGCCTAATAGCTATATTTATTAAGAACTGAAAAGTGTCTTATTGGGTACTGTGACACTTCTTTCCTATTTTAAATTCTAAAATCTTTGAGAGAAACAAAACAAGATACCTTTGTAAAGCCACTGAAGAACAAGCATGTTGCTCTAGGCTGCTCCTCATTGATTTGTGTCTGCAAAAGAAAAAATCTTATTTAATGCTGTTTCTGTTATTATCAACTGTCATTCTCTTACAGCTTGTTACTCTAGACTGTCTAGTTATGGTTATTTATCTACTGCACCATGAAAGCTGAATTACAACAATGAAGGAATGAAGCTTACTAATAAAACAGTTACTGTTGATCTGCTTCACATGTGACACACAAGGAAAAATGTTTATAGCATGAAAGACCTGGTTATCTATAGTTTGATTGATGTAATATTGTACATATTAATGATATTGTAGTTACTGATTAATTTCTATAATTATTTTCTCAAACTTAAAATTTCTAACATACTGTATTTATGAAATGATGAAGCTCTTCCTACATTCTTTACATTCCTACATTCTTTATATGTAAATTCAGCTTTCTTTTTTAGTCATTAGTTACAAACATAACAAATTTAAAACATAATTTTATACAATACCACTTCATATTTTTACTGTTAAAAAACTTAATAGTTTCTACAAAAATAACAATAATTGTTATATGTAAAAGTTGTTTACCTGAAACTTTGACTTGGAATGATTCTGCTGTTTATCTTCTTGTCTAATGTTATAATCTACACATTCACACTTCAGTTAAAACTTCTCATTTCTATTTGCCACACTAATAAGACTTTTAATGTATTCTTTGAGAAATCAAAAATATGCACCCTTACATTTTAAACAAAATAATATCTCCAGAATTGCTACAATACCAATCATTTCCTTTTTAACTGACCTCAATTCCTTTGAATTCAAACTTTACAACCGTACAACTGGAAAGTTCCATTATAATTTTAAACTGTGAGGGATTATTCAAAAACCATAGCACCCATCATTTTATTTTTTACATTCATTTGAATGTATAAACTATGTCTAATACATAAATAGATTGAGTAGAAATTAGTTTTTGAAAAATAATTTAGCATGTTATTTTAACACAGATTCTACATGTAACATGTATAATGTTGCCTCTCCCAAAATAATCAAATGGAACAGCCTGGTCAGCTTGTGTAAACTATTAACCCCCATGCAGAGATTACTAGATAAGAGGGCAGTAGTTTTATCAGACCTGTGTTGTATGCCTTGTTGTTAAATCTTAGAGGATGCAGTATTTACTAGCTAGTATTTACTTATCCTGATTATAAGAAATTATCAGACATTATTAGCTATTTACTTTTCACACAATTATTTTTACAATAGATTTAAAGCCTCTGAAAGGCATACTATATTGTGTATGTATAATAAGCAAGCACAGTGCTTCATTATCTTGAAGTTATATATATTTATTAAATAGCATTTAAATATTATTGTTAACAAGTTTGATTCATGTTTGTTTCTTCTTTAAAATACATAACTCTCTCCTGCAAAGTTATGGAGTTATTGCCCTTTGTAAGTTTTTTAGTACAAAAAATGTAGCAGATTTTAACAACAAACTTTATACAGAAAAATGCATTTTCTGGGCATTGAAGAACATTTTAACTATTTAATGTACAGATTGCAACTAAAAAAGCTAAGTACACTTTTACAGCCGTAATTTTATTTTACAAGCATAGAATGGAACATAGGCAATTTTTGACTTTAAGTCAAATTGTACATACCTAAAGAAAAGTACTGAAAAAAAGAAAGAAAAAATGGAAACTAAAGTAACCCTATATACTTTTCTAATTTTTCTTGCTCTTAATTAATTAATTATGTGTGTTTTATGCCTGGAAAAGTGATTTTACGTCCAATTTCAGTGTCTTTTCCTGCTACTTTACAGCTGGAATTATCATACCATTATGGGCAGTGACTTTGTATCAGAATTGTGTTCATGGCATTCTAGTATTGCATATAAAAGATTTTTAAGAAATACGAGTTTCTGATAAATTTTCAAACTGTTCAACTTTAATTTATTCTATTTTTGATAAAAAGTTCACTTGATGCTTTGATAAAAACTAGAATCAGATTTATTTCAGTTTGGAGCTTTAACTTAAATAAATCTTATAAACCCTGCAATGCACAATCATTTCTCAGTTTTTTCCACCAATTTTTATGCCACCCAGAAAATAGTTAAGAGTTTCCCTTTTCGACTAAAAGTTATTCACAAAATTTTCTAAGTTTTTTTCCACTAATTTGCCACCCAGAAAATAGTTAGAGTTTCACTTTTCCACTAAAAGCCACTCATTTTCCACCTTCAAAATAAACTAAGTTTCATTTTTCACCAATTTCCACCTTTTTGCCACCATGAAAAAAGTCTATGTTCAAATTTCCACTCAATGCCACCTAAATGCCACCAAAGGATAGTGGCGTTTGGTGGTAATTTTGCCACTACAGTGGAAAAAGAGTGGAATTTTGTCATTTTCCAGTTAATTTCACCTTTTTTACACTTAATGCCACCCTTTTCAGTGGAAATAGCTGGCAAGTAGTGGCAAATCTAGGGACGGGCATACAGTACACCTGTGGTACATGAAAAAAACATCTATGGTACACATACAGAACATCTTTGGTACACATACAGAACACCTGTGGTACAAATACAGTACACCTGTGGTACATGAAAAAAAACATCTATGGTACACATACAGAACATCTTTGGTACACATACAGTACACCTGTGGTACATGAAAAAAACATCTACATGTATGGTACACATACAGAACATCTTTGGTACACATACAGAACACCTGTGGTACACATACAGTACACCTGTGGTACATAAAAAGAACATCTATGGTACACATACAGAACATCTTTGGTACACATACAGAACACCTGTGGTACATATACAGTACACCTGTGGTACATAAAAAGAACATCTATGGTACACATATAGTACACCTGCAATACACATACAGTACATCTGTTTTACACATGCAGAAAATTATATGCATGCATAGTACATAATGTATAACACTCCTTATTTTCTTTTAAAAATTTTAACAATATAATTCTTGATACAGCATTGTTAAACTTGTAAATGACACTAGTTGGTATCAAAATCCATTCTAATTTTTACAAGCACTAATTGAGACACATGGTGTTATGGTCTTACTGTAAAATGATGCCATAAAACAATTTTAATTTATAAACTTTTCATTTGAATTAGATTTAGTAACTTTAATATTATATATTACAGGTATTGGTCATGAGGTATATGTTAAAATTGAGCAAATTCCTGATGCAATTCCTCGTGGTTATTTCAAACCTGTTACATTTCATGGACAACTGACTATTGTATCTTTTGATTTGGAAAGGACTGGGCTAAGTGAGCTATTATCATTCACATATTCTAATTATTTCAACACTTTCACTTTAATCTCTGGTTAAAACAAACAACAAAAGTTACTAGTCTGAGCACTGTCTAACAGAGATGGCCGATATGGAATGAGTTTAGATTCCAAACTAAATTTATTGAAGAAGTTAAATAAAATAACATGTTATGACCAAATTTATTTGTATAGAATACTTAAAATTATAACAGAGTATAGTCAAAAAGAATATTTGTTCATTGATGTGCTAATACTTAGCGTTTCTTTACACTACATGTATGTTTGTATAGTGCATTATTTTGTAGCAAAATGGTTATTTCTGGTTATTTCTTTTTTCCAAAAAATTATTTACAATCACTCGTCCTTTATTGCTATGTACTAAATTCTGGTTATAAACAGTAAATTATTGAATACTGATACTTGAAAAATAACGTTCCGGATAATAATAATGGCCGATTTATTATGATATTGGCCAATGTAAGAAATGTTTTGTAAGGAAAGCATTACAGTAAGACTACCTTAAACATTTATTGATAATTATGTTTCAATGCCTATTACAGTTGAAGAAGGAGTGATGCCTCAGATATCCCAGATTTGTGCAATGGAAGTTGTATCTTGGCAAATATTCCACACATATATCAACCCATCATATCAAACATCAACAAGTGCTACAAGTGGAATATCGTTAACATTCAATGTAAAAATAACTGATATAAACCATACAAAAGTTCAGTTAGTGAATATAAAATCAGCCATTGATAAACTTCTCGACTGGATTTCTAAATTTCATAATGTGTGTTTCGTTGCACGCAATGGACTGAGGTTTGTTTTCCCAATTTTGGTTACAACTTGGAATTTTTGATAAATTTTCTCTGGCGTGCATTCATCGACTCTGTGACTGTGTTCAGAAAACTTTACCCTAACCAGTCTTTGCTACAAGCTGACCTTGTATTGTCTATACTAGGTGAGGTATATGACGCTCATAACCTAACTGAAGGGGTGAAAGCGCTCGGAAAGTTAATTCAGTCTGTCAATCTACCAACTAATGACTTGATGGTTCACAGTTTCTCACCATCAGCAGTGGTCAACAACATCATGTTCAATAAGGCTAAAGCCTTAAATTTACCATCACTGAGTACATTGCTTTATACCAGAGTGATTAAAAGACCTACTGCAGAGAACATAGCAGGGTCTGGGCTAAATTTGTCTCATCTTAAACTGTTGCATAACAGTGGTGGGGAAGATGCTTTACGGGATGTTTTTACTGCTAGAAATTCCGAAGGCTTACCTAGAGTCACAAATATAAAGAATTTTTTGGATGATATAATTCCTAAACTCTCAAAGTATTTTGAATAAATACATTAGCAACTTGTTACATACAAGTTAATAAAAAAACATTTTTTTCTCAAATTTCTTATTCTGCACAAATTTTGTGTACTAACACCATGTTAAGACACTATATTATAATATATTTTATATAAGAATGTACATGTACTACTGTTTTTCAGATGAGAATATTAACAATAATTTTTAAATCAGTTACACATAACCTCACTAAATAAGTTCCACTGTGTCATTGATGGACCTGAATATATCAGCAGTTTACTCTATATTTCAAGTTTGTATCTTTATTTGTGTATCTTTTTGTGTTAAAGAGAAATACCAACCTTCAGTGTGAGGTGACATTTTCAATAAAATTATAATTATCTGCTCATGCCTTCTATAAAGTCATAAAAAAATCAGAATCCATGCATCTATGTGACTGATATTTATATCACTTTAACCCTTCCCACAGTAAATTTCTTAAATAGACTTTTCCATCTGTCACCCTGGTCACAACCATCATTTATGGGGAATTTTTAAAATAGTAATGACTGAATAGCAAACAGTGCAAACCATGATCTGACATCACAAAAGCTAAATTTTACCCAATTGTGTGTTTTTCTAATAATTTAATTAATTAATTATATGATCAATTCTTTTATTTCAAATGATATAACCTATAAGCTTATTATCCAATTGGTCTTTAATTTTCTTACTATTGGTATGTTGATAAAAAAATAAGTGCAGAAGTTTAAATGAATGCTCAAAAAATAGCTTAAAGGAATTCAAATTTATCAGATAACCGTTTTTGTCGCCTGTTTTATTGTGGCACCATTTAATTGCAGTTTGTCATTAAAACAGACATTTATCAACAAGATCATTTTAAATATGCCTGGCATTCAATATTGTGACCATGTAGAAAAAATGGCATATATATTCGTAACTTTAGTTTTTTACCTATTATAAAGATAAAAAGGTCAGGAAAATGGCAACTATTGGAGGCTGGTGGTGGCAAAATTGAAGTTCAAAGCAACATTGTCTTTACTTAATCAACGTAAACATTGTCTTTACTTAATCAATGTAAGCATTGTCTTCACTTAATCAACATAAGCATTGTCTTTACTTAATCAATGTAAGCATTGTCTTTACTTAATCAACATAAGCATTGTCTTTACTTAATCAACGTAAGCATAGTCTTTACTTAATCAACGTAAGCATTGTTTTTACTTAATCAACTTAAGGAAATGCATTAAAAACTAAGTACAAAAAAAGTTGTCTAAAAGAATGTTGCTTCTTATATGCAGGGAAAAATTTCATAGGATGCAAGAGGCATATTTTAATTAGTGGCAACAACTAACCATAATTTGTAAGTGAAAGTACAAGTTTTTCTTACCAACAGTCTATTTTCACACAATTTTCACCTGCCGTAAAATTTTAGCAGGTCATTTAAATAGCCATGGTAACAGTTGTCTGCAGATAAAAAAAACAAAACAGACACAACAAAAAACAATAGCCACTGTCTTATTGATTCCTGCTATAAAAAGTTATGTTAACTTGTATATTATATATACATGTACATGCTACTGAGCATATGTTGTTATTTATAGAAACATCTTACTGGTGGAGGATTCTTCCTCATTTGGAAAGTACGACTATCTCCAAGTGAAATAGAAGCTATCGTGGGATCAGGTCCTAGAGATTTCTCATCGTCTGCATGCCAGGCCAGACTGTCGTGTCCATCTCGATATAAGTTGGCCAACATGGAATTGAATTCTAACCCTGTGCTTTCTTCAAGTAAATGCTTTATTCTTTGTAAAGTAGGGTGCCACTGTAAAGAAAATGTTATATACCGGTAATACTTTAAGGAAAGCATGGCTATAACTTGCAATTATATATACTACAAACAAAATTCCAAAATTTAAATATAAATGAATTAAATTCACTCACAGTTGTTTCTCATAAAAATGTTTTTACCAATAATTTCTGTATTTTATAACACAACAAACATGCATGAATATATGTTAATAATATGTAACATGCCCTATTACAATATTCTGTTTCATTTTTACATTGGATTGATGAGTGATGATTTTGTACTTCTTTGTCGAAATTTACAAACGTTATACTTTCAAATTAGGTACTCTTGTATGATACATGTACTTGTCATGACAGTGAAGGACACTTACAATTTGTATGCTGATAACCTGTCCTCATATAGATGATGTTAAAACAGATATCTTTAACTTATATAAATAAAAGATTTCTAAGCACATAAAAATATCAAACAATCCTTATTGAACAATGACAACCATTTTTATAGTTCAATACTTCTAACTTATTTAGTGAGTAGTATAGTTGTAACACAAAGGGTTGCGTGTAAAACTACTCTTGACAAAAATTGCTAAAAAAATTTATGTCCTTTGAGATCTCCCATTACATGCATCCATTTTATAGAACTGTACATGTAGATTACTTCTTCATTAAAAAGAAGACTTTCTGTTTATACAAACAATCTTCTCATTTTTTTTGGTTATAAATACTGCTGTTCTATAAGGATTTACGATGGCAACCATAAATACAGTGGCAAACTTGAAATAACCAAAAAAAGAGTTATATCCAATATAAACCTCAACTTAATGTTTCCATTCAAAAGACATGACTTTTCACAACCTGTGATTTGTATTCACCTTTGTCATCACAAATAAATGCACATTTTGTAATAAATTCAAGACAAAGAATGAGACAAATTTTGTCATATTGAAGGGTAGGACTACCTTATACAGTAAATTACCTCTTTGCAGGCATCGTGTGTGACACCAGAATAACGATATGGATGATCGCCATACCATGCTGTTAATCTCGGCTGTAAATATTTTTCTCCGTTCTTCACATCACTTCTTTGTCGCCATGGTAAACCGTGGTACAATTCCTCATACATTTGGTCTGCATCTTTTGGGTCGATAAATGCAGGGAAAAATCTTAGTCTGAAATTAGAGAAAATGCTTTAATTTGCTCTAAGTTAATGGGTAATTATCAATGCTTGCACTGTATTATAAAAATATAGACAAAATTAATAGGCTCTTAAATTTAATTTGAATATAATCTTTTCCAGCGGTTTTCTCTCTTACTTATGAGGAGGCCGTAGATCTTTAATTTTGTGGAGAATTATCATTAAAATGGTTGATTTGGGAAAGTAAAAAGCCAGAATAAGTTTAATTTTTGGGAAAACAGCATTATTTTTTCTTTCCCATTTTATATACCTCTGTAATATAAGGTGCAATACCCCTGACTTGTAATAGGACATGTTTAGGAGTTTTTAAAGAGGCAGGCTGATACACAATATCAGTAAGATTCTTTTTTTAACACACAATATTAAATACAAATCTGAACAAATATACCAAAAAACAAGAACGTGTTTGTTAAACACAAATGCCCCCGGCTCAGATTCTTGTCAGTCGCAATATTTTAAAAAATATTTACCCATTCACTAAGTTATGGACAGAAAAATTGCCAAAAAATTGTAAACACAAGTTATATAGCTTGACAAAGTCATAGCATTTTGTAATTGTGAAAAATATAAGTTGCCAAGTCATTGATCTGACTTGCAGATGAAAAATATTCAACTTCATGCAAGTTATCTTCCTACCAAATATGAAAACCATCTGTCATTAAATAAAGGCTGTTTAAATCTATTTTAAGCACTGGTGGCCTTAACAAAACTGACCCCTATCTCTATACAAAAGAAGAATACCATGTAAGTTATCTTCCTACCAAATATGAAATACATCTGTCAATAAATAAAGGCTGTATGGGCAAAGGTGTAAAAATCTATTTTTAGCACTGGTGACCTTAACCAAACTGACCAAAAGAAGAATACCATGCAAGTTATTTTCCTACCAAATATGAAATACAGCTGTCAATAAATAAAAGCTGAATGGGCAAAAGTGTAAAAATCTATTTTTAGCACAAGTGACCTTGACCCACTGATCCCTACCCCAATCAAAATGATGACCATGCAAGTTATCTTCCAACCAAATATAAAATATATCTGCCACTTAATAAAGGCAATATGACCAAATGTGTAAAAATCTATTTTTAGCACTTGTGACCTTGACCCATCTGACCACTAACTCCTTCAAAGTTTATGTTTCTATCAATTATAAATAGCATCTGTCTATAGAATAAGGTCAATACACCTGTAAAAATGTAAAAAAAAAATATTTTAACATTGGTGATTTGACATTGGTAACATTGACCTTGACCCAAATGACCCCTTACTACACCCAAAGAAGGAGGACCTCCCTTGGCATGTTTGTATTAAACTAAAACATCAACTCAAATATAAAGGCTGTATGAGCAAAAATGTTTATATTTATTGTTTAAACCAGTGACCATGACCTTGACCCTAAAGACCGCTTACTCCACAAAAAATTAGAGGACCATCAAAGGTATCCACCTACTAAATATGAAAGATATCATTAAAGAAATTAAGCAATTAGGAGAAATTTAAGATAAATCCAACTTGCCAAAATAGGTTAACCAGACAAGGCCCTATTTTCAAAGTGAAAAAAGGGAAATAACTGGAAAATATGGATGACACAGTTATATAACTTGGCAATATCATGTACTTTGTATTGATAAGTAAGTGTGGGAATTATAAAGCCATTAGTATAGATAGAACTTAAGATATTTCCAACTTGCCGTTTTAGGTTAACCATTATTCATTTTCTAAGTGCTGAAAAGAGCAATAACTTGGTAAATATGAAAGTCAGAGTTATGTAACTTGCCCAGATCATGTACTTTGTATTGATTAGTAAGTGTGTAAACTTAGAAGCCATTGGTACAGGAAGAACTTAAGAAAAATCCAACTTGCCGTTCTAGGTTAACCTGGTACGGACAGACGGACGTACCAAAATTTGATGTTTATGAGGCAAATCAGCTCATAAACACCACCTAGACCAACGTCCATAAGCAAAATAAGCTCATAAAAACAAAAAAATAGCTCTTAATTTGAATTTTATGAGTTTTTGTTCTTTATTTAACTACGGAATGAAGCTCATAATAATCAAATGTTTGCTCGGACAGACGGACGGACGGTTCAATCACTATATGCCCGGGGGCATAAAAAAGAAAATCGCTGTTTGTTGTTTTTATACCAATGGTCATCCATTGACTTAAAAGGGATACTTCTGCCAGGACTCCATACACAGGTTCATATTCAGTCACATATATTGACTAAAAATATTGAAAACAAACAACATCATGTGACAAAAATATTGTATATATATGTATGTCATTTTCATTTTTCATAATCATCAAATGAATCACATTCAAACTTGAAATATTTTCGAATTTTGTTTATACCTAGAAAGAATGAAAATATTAAGTATTTTAGACAAGGGTTTGAGATTTCTCACCTTGAGATCCCAGACGGTTCTGTACTTATATCGTATACACCAGCTTTCCTGAAAAATAAAATATATATAGTACCTTGAAATGGCTATATATGTAATATATCTTGTCAATTAATGATTAAAGAAACAATTAAGGTCTTTATAGTGGAGATGACAAGGCCACTGACTGAATCAGCTTATCACTGTGGGTTTAAATCCCACCTGGGAAAATTTCATAATATCTTTTCATATAAAAAGTCTACCCTGCCAACTAGAGCCTGAAATAACTAACAGAGTTATGGCATCAGATAACATTCTGAACCAGATAATAGATGGTAAAGTCACATTATTATTTATAATTTCAACATTGACCATGTGACTGATATCCCCATGCAAGGACCAAGAAACCTCCCGTAATAAATAGGGTTCTAGTCTAAATGTAGTCATGACCAACCTCCACACTGAATTTTAGGACAGTAGGCTCTTCTAATTGGTGAACAAAACTTTTCATGATTATGAAAAGTCCACAGGAAGTGACTTAACATTTGACCAACTGACCTGAATAATGAACAGGGGTCATCTTCTTGTCATGACCAATCTATGGACTGTAGGCTTAAACACTTTCAAGTTATTGGTAGGACAAGCTTTTTCTTGACAAGGTCACACTATTTTGATCTTGACTTTTGTCCAACTGACCTCATCTAAACAGCATGATTATCTAACATAGAAAATCTAACCTTAAAGCATTATCTGGTTAGACATGCTGTCTATGGACTGATCGACAAACAGGCTAACAAACATTAAGCAAAGCAATATACCCCAATTTCTTTCAATGTCACGGGCACAATAAGCAACAAAAATTCATTTTGATAATACAAAATCTAAAATCATTTATATACTAATTTAACTACTTTTATATTTTTCATCAAAATACTCTTATAAAAACTTTGTTTATTGACAATGTGTAACAAAATTAACTTACGATATTACTTTGTCAGCTGGTTTTTGCCTCAGTTCCTTTAAAAAAATATTAATAATAAAACAAATGATGAGCAATTGGAAAAAGCAATACATTCAATTCTGCTTTAAAAAACTTGTCATCATAAAATAAATAAATACAAATATCTGTATTTGTATTTTTTCTATCAATTTATATACAACTAGAAATGTGTCCATAGGACAGAGGTGCCCCAACACGTCACTGTTTTGTCAATCTTATGACATTTAAGGTCAAATATTTTTTAGGCTACAATTGTGCTACAAGTTGAAAACTAAAAATCGTTTACTAAGTCAAGGGCAAGAACTTACAAATACTGAATAAATCCACAAGCAAACTCAAGGTGCATAAGTATACATGGCTGACCAACATTCTTGTAAACTTTCAGATCTACAAGTCAAATATTTTTTGAGCTAATTGCATGAACAAGTTGAAAATTGCAAATTTATACTAAGTCAAGGGAAATAACTCTAACAAAACTGAAAAAAAAAATCCACATGCAAAACCCAGGTACATAGCTTCAAAGTGATGTTGATCATTACTCCTGTAAAGTTGGTTGATTCTAACTCGAGCACTTGAAGAACAAATAACACAACATAATGGAATGGTTTTTACTAAGTCAAGGGCAATAAATCTGACAAAACAGAACAAATCCACATGAAACCCCAGGTGCACAGCTTTACATGCTGAGCAACATTCCTGTAAAGTTTCATGACACTAGATCAAATACTTTTTTGAGTTACGTGCAACACAAGTTGAAAATCGTAAATTTTATCAAAGTCAAGGGCAATAACCCTAAACATATCCACATGAAATTACCCAGGTGCACAACTTCACATGCTGATCATTATTTCTGTAAAGTTTAATGACTAGGTCAAAAATTTTTGAGCTACATGAGACACAAGTTGATAATTGCAAATATTTACTAAGTCAATGGCATTAACTCGTAACAAAACAGAATAAATCCACAAACGAAACCCCAGGTGCACAACTACACATGCTGATCAACATTTTTGTAAGGTTTCATGCCTCTAGGTCAAATACTTTTTGAGTTATGTGCAACACAAGTTGAAAATTGTATTTTTTTTTACTAAGTCAAGGGCAATAACTCTAAAAATACTAAATATATCCACAGGAAAATACCCAGGTGTACAACTACACATGCTGATCAACATTTCTGTAAGGTTTCATGACCATAGGTCAAATTCTTTTTGAGCTACATGCGACACAAAAGAGAACAGACGGATGGACAGACGGACAAGGGTAAATCTAAATACCCCCCCTAAAGTGGGGGCACAAAAATGTTTTATACAAAGTATATTGCAATTTTGTAAATAACCAAACTTTATTACATGCTTTTCGGTGGTTTATAGAAATATATCAGTGAGTTAAAAACTGGTAATTTCACTGTTTGAAACAGTGAAATTATCGATTTGATAATTTCACTGTTTTGAATATTTGAGCCCAGTACGTTGTTTCAGTGAAATACAAGCGTTCACATTACTGGAAACCAACTTAATGACGTGACGTAGTAAATGACGTCACGTTATATTATCATTTGGCGCCCTTTTCATTTACTACTAAGTTAAAATGTCTTTTTAAACGTTTCTTTGCATGTAATAAAAAGAAAATTTGTTTGTTCAGTGTAAGATCGAAATATATGTCACCTCCTGAACACCAAAAGTTCATATTTCACTCGTGGCTGCGCCACTCGTGAAATATACCTTTTGGTGCTAACTCGGTGAAATATATTCCGATCTTACACTGAACTAAACAAATATCCTCTATATAAAAGCTGTCAGACCAATTCATGCAAAATTTGTTTGCATTAACCAATTTATTAAAAATTATTGAAGAATATTCAACAAAGATAAATGTTTCCACCACAAGATAAAAATAATTACAGGGTTCATTTTTAACTGATTATGATTTAAATGTACCTCTCCTTGAATCGATAAGTATTTTTTGTTTGCTGATAAAAACAAATTTAACAGTAAATTTTGTTAATACAGAAGATGAAATAAAAATATTAATTGAAGAGTGCTGTTCACTGAGGTAGGCTGTAGAGCCACAGAACTTCTGAACAAGAGGTTGTAGGTTCAAATCCCAAGTCTTGTGGTGATAGCAAAATTCCATACTGGTTCATATTTTGGTTACAAATCTCATTAAGCAGTCTTCAAGTATGAATAAATGCATGTCTAGATGCTCAAAGCTAACATAGTTTACATGCATGATTAAAGAACAATAAACATGAGCACCAGTAACTTTTCTGTCACTGTATGGTTGGTTCTCATTAAGTCATCTTAGGGCACTCGTTTGGTTGTTTTTGGGGCCGAATATGGGTACCATTCCCCTCTCAAAATCATATGTTGTTTCCCTATCTCAGAAAAAAAAAAATCCCCTCCAAATTTTATCAAAATTAATAAACTTAAAGTAATTTGATTTATTTGTTAGTCTAAATTACAAAAATATACCAACTATTGATTTTAAAGGAAGGAAAATTAATAAATCAAATTAATGAATCAAGGACTGTGGAATTCTTGGAGAAAGTTGGTGAAATTTATTGACGTTTATAAAAATGTGTTTTTTTGAACCAGAAAACAGATACTGTCTGATTTAAAGAAATATGTACTGATGAAAGTTCGAGATAAAGTGCTGTTTAACACTGTTGCAGAATAGACTATGTCTATTTACTTCTCATATCATATATGACTGAAACTGTAAATAAATATATTTATATTATACATGTATATGTGTGTGTTCTCTCTATGTTATGTTTAAATGATGTAATATACAATATGTGTTTGTCAGCTGTAAATTGTTGGTCATGTTATGTTTTATTGCATGTTAAATGAGGGGTGAAGTGTCTGGGGATGAAGTGTCTTGCTACCCCTTTGATTATAGAGGGATGAAGTGTTTTACTGATTTTGGGGGTGAAGTGTCTTGAGGGGTGAAGTGTTTTCAAAATTTGAGGGGTGAAGTGTCTGGGGGTGAAGTGTCTTGCTACTTATATATCACCAAATTGCACAGACACTTGGAGTGTAGAGCCCCACCCTTCATCGCCCCTGAATATTAAAATCTGAAAGTATTATTTATTACAAAAACTAGTTTTAATTTTTTGCTCATGTTAGTATGAGACGGTTAAGTGTCTTACACATGAACAAGTTTGAACAGAATTTCATAACGTTTTAAAAAAGTCAATTTTTTACCAACACTTCAATTTCCTAAAGATACCAAGCTTCGAAATATAAACAAAACTGACCTACATGAATTTCATACAAAATATTATAGCATGCCATTTCTTTCTGGTGTAAATCAGTGGAGGTATATAATCTTCTAATAAATAAATATATGTTACTATCCGATCATACCTTTCTTACAATCTTTGCACATTTAATTAAATTTTCTTTACTCTGTCACATCTTTGTTTGTGAATTCATGGTGACTGGAATGTTTCCCCCAACTTATAGCAGAAAAATCCTAGGGAAACAGCAAATTTCGTAAAAAAGTTTAATGAATGAAAATGTCATTGTTATCGTCTCACACACGTGCGCATGGCCTTTATTTTCGGGACCGAAAATACAAGGTTACCATAAAAATATAGAATGATTTTATGTCCTTTTACGTTAAGACTTTTACAATCATTGTTTAAATATCATTTTTACTTGAATTATGTTTCTTTATAATTACATGTGGTTATCAAATTGGCTGGATGAAATTCCTCCGTATGTGATGATTCCTTGAAAAAAAAAATGCATGTGTTTCATTAGAGAATTATGTCTTGTTCTCAGCATAAAATGAAAGCGCAAAACAGTGCTGAAACTCATTCCAGTCATCTCACATCAAAGGAAAGCGTACATTGTTAATGTTATCTGTTATGAAATTATGATATTTTAGGGAGTCTTTTACTTGTTGTCAAATAGCCGGAAACAAGTTTTATGTTCCAGACTCATAACCAGGTCGTAATAATATGCAAATTAAAAAATATTGACGTACGGTTTGCAAAATAAAATTAGACATGGTGTATACAAGGAGTGTAGGACAAAAGCACCCCATTTAGAAATGTCAAGGTGGACAAAAGACCCCCATTAAATTCACACATCTAGGACAGAAGCCCCCCCCCCATCAAAAATACAGGTAGGACAAAAGCCCCCCCCCACCACCCCCCAGTCTATCAAACAAAAGCCCCCCTAAGGTTTATAGACCAGGCTGATTACTATCTTTTTACACACTCCCAGTGTTCGGGAACTTGGGTTATACTTCAAATAAATCTAAACAAGTATGCGCCTTTCACTTTCATTTCCTTGGTAAGCTTTGATAAGCGATTCTCTGAAAATATTCATTTACATTTGTACTTTATAATATATAGTTAAGTAAACATAAAAACATTCATATCATCAATGAATTACATATAAAAATTACACAATAAATCAATTTAGAACTTTTGCACCTTTAAATTTTAATGTAAATTATCTTTTAAAACAATTGCATTTATTTGTTAAATTAAACATACCGATTTTGGGTCTCACTAAAAAGCGTCCCGAAGGATTTTAGCGTCCCGAAGCGTCCCGAAGCATTATTGTTAATTTAAACAGCCAGAAGGGTTATATTTATTGTAAATGAGCTATATTATTATGTACTGAGGTATTTATGGTAGAAAAAAATATTCTTACTTATCATTTTTTCTATTTATATAAAAAAAACCTAACATACCTTCGACTCCCGTTCACTTGCTCAAAAACCATCGTATACCGACAAAGCGTCCGGAAGGTTTAATGTTTATCTAAACCAAAATTATTTTGAAATACTTCGTAATTTTAGTTAATGAAATAGTAATATAAGTAACAATAGCGAGAAAAAAATGTTTTCCATACATAAAATTATCTTTATAGCGCCTGAAATCGTGCATCTACCCACGCATAGTTCAAGTCGCGTACTGACTAACATAGCGTCCCGAAACGTATTCATGATTTTTATTTTTATCTAAGCAAAGATAAATCGTAATTAAGTTCTTTTATGATATGTGTAAGTGACATTAAAAAGGAAATAAACATTTCATCCACAAAATATTATTTTACAGCGCGAAAACTGACGTTTCCCATGTTGCGCTAACAAATCGTCCCGAAGAATTTAGCGTCCCGAAATGTCATGAAGCGTCCCGAAGCATTATTGTTAATTTAAACAGTCAGAAGGGTTATATTTATTGTAAATAATGTATATTATTATGTATTGAGGTATTTGTGGTAGAAAAAAATAATCTTACTTATCATTTTTTCTATTTATATAAAAAAAACTAACATACCTTCGACTCCAGTTCACTTGCTCAAAAACCACCGTATACCGCTAGGGGCGTCCGGGTGGTTTAATGTTTATCTAAACCAAAATTATTTTGAAATACTTCGTAATTTTAGTTAATGAAATAGTTATATAAGTAACAATAGCGAGAAAAATGTTTTCCATACATAAAATTATCTTTATAGCGCCCGAAATCGTACATCTATCCACGCATAGTTCAAGTCGCGTACTGACTAACATAGCGTCCCGAAACGTATTCATGATTTTTATTTTTATCTAAGCAAAGATAAATCGTAATTAAGTTCTTTTACGATATGTGTAAGTGACATAAAGAAGAAAATAAACATTTCATCCACAAAATATTATTATACAGCGCGAAAACTGACGTTTCCGATGTTGCGTTAACAAAGCGTCCCGAAGAAATTTAGCGTCCCGAAATGTCATGAAGCGTCCCGAAGCATTATTGTTTATTTAAACAGTCAGAAGGGTTATATTTATTGTAAATAATGTATATTATTATGTATTGAGGTATTTGTGGTAGAAAAAAATAATCTTACTTATCATTTTTTTCTATTTATATAAAAAACTAACATACCTTCGACTCCAGTTCACTTGCTCAAAAACCACCGTATACCGCTAGGGGCGTCCGGAAGGTTTAATGTTTATCTAAACCAAAATTATTTTGAAATACTTCGTAATTTTAGTTAATGAAATAGTTATATAAGTAACAATAGCGAGAAAAATGTTTTCCATACATAAAATTATCTTTATAGCGCCCGAAATCGTACATCTATCCAAGCATAGTTCAAGTCGCGTAATGACTAACATAGTGTCCCGAAACGTATTCATGATTTTTATTTTTATCTAAGCAAAGATAAATCGTAATTAAGTTCTTTTACGATATGTGTAAGTGACATAAAGAAGGAAATAAACATTTCATCCACAAAATATTATTATACAGCGCGAAAACTGACGTTTCCAATGTTGCGTTAACAAAGCGTCCCGAAGAAATTTAGCGTCCCGAAATGTCATGAAGCGTCCCGAAGCATTATTGTTAATTTAAACAGTCAGAAGGGTTATATTTATTGTCAATAATGTATATTATTATGTATTAAGGTATTTGTGGTAGAAAAAATAATCTTACTTATCTTTTTTTTTCTATTTATATAACTGACGTTTACCCGTGTAATTTCATGTCGCTCTAACAAAGCGCCCGGAAGAAAGTTAGCGTCCAGTATAGGAGATTATATTTACTGACTCGCAGTTAATATAATCGTTTTAAGAGCGTTCAGTTACAGATGTTTAATATATGTTTTCATATGCTCATCTGTATCCAGGCCACACCACGTGGAGGAACTCTTACATGGCCCTTTTTTTTTTTTTTTTTTTTGTTAATTTACTTTTAAGAATTAGACTTTTATCAATTTATTGACTTGTCTCAACATAAACTGACAAGGTTCTCAATTACAATTGTTTGATAGACTGGGGGCTTTTGTCCTACCTGTATTTTTGATGGGTGGAGGCTTTTGTCTTATGTGTAAATTTCATGAGGGGGGGGGGGGGGCTTTTGTCCACCTTGTCATTTTTTGATGGGGGTAGCTTTCGTCCGGGGGGGGGCTTTTTCGTATCCCGTATACAACTGGGGAGCCACGCACATTACCCCAAGTGTCTATGCCAAATTCAATAAAGTCTTACCTCTGATGATTGCTCATAGACGAATTTCTTTTCATTTGAAGTTGAAGGCAAATTTACTTGATCTATGTTTTTTCCAACCCAATTTGGCACATTCGCAGGTTTTGCTTTGTTCCGATCAGATCTTACGTTCGAGGGTGGAGCCCAGCCGCCTTGGACACGCGCCCGCTTTCGTTTGTCACTCATATTTTACCTATGTACACCGGCGAATTATAAAATAATCTTAAACAAACTTCATTTGTTTACATAATTCATATGGAAGCTGACATCTTGTTTCCTAAATGAACCTAATTAATTAAACTACGAAAAAGAGAATATTAATTACCCGCAAGAGCTTTATACTATACTTCGTAAAGGAAGATTATAAAAATTTTGCAAATAAATTGAAACTGTATTTACATAATGAATATTATAAATATGTATTATTCTTTAATGAAATATATTCCTATAAACTGCAATAATACTATAAAATTCAATTTAAACGCTACTGTACAGTATAGTATATCAGGTACATATATCTGAGTATATTTATCATATTTTTAAATTCATGTTCACTCAGTTTCGTCAGAAAATTTAGTGATACCACCTTGGTACTACTATAAACTTTTACAGGTTCTTTCAAACTAATTTCTAATTGCGGCTAAAAGAAGACTGGGAAAATGTCTCGGATAGGCGTGAGTATAAAGCAGCAATATACTTATGGACATGTCTAAGGCAATTTTGTCTGCCACGCGACTTTGTTGTTTTGAAACTTAATGCCTATGGCTTATCTGACACAACTCTAAGAGTAAATACAGAAACTAATGGTCAGGAAAGCTTCCGCTACGAAGCCACCAAGGTCTAGAATAGCCTTACGAACGAGCTTAGATTATGGCGGATTCAGGGCTGCGTTCCATGGAGAGTCCTATATAATTTAAGTCTTAATTAAGTCGGTCCTAAGATAAAAATTGAGAAAATTTTGCGTTTCAAAGAAAGTTATAAAAAAGGTCCTAAGGTAGACTATAGCTCCTGCTGGGATAGCTTTCTGCCATGTCAAATGTGTTTTGTTTTTCTGTGTGTGTGTGTGTGTGTGTGTGTGTACGTGTGTGGTAGCTGCTAATCATCTTCCCAAATTTGATTTTGGTGATTACAGCTTTTAAATCGTTTTTTTAATGTCTGGCACAATTTTTCCTCATAATCTTACCCCACATCGTCTAAGTTCATATTTTAGGCCAGGCCAAGTTCAGCGACTGCCACACAAACGTTTCAAACTAATATATTGATGCATGTATATGTTATTTCATAGTCCTAATTTCATGGCTGAATATATATCAGATTGCTACTACTGATATATGCTCAAGCAGCCTGTTGGTCTTTGGGTCAGTCTTCGGTTGGTACTGAACCATGACTGATCCCTCCATTTTTGTTTTAATTTCTCTTAATAAGTTAAGTGTATTTAAAATGAATTATATTCTGTTGTATTGTTATGTAATATGTGCTTGTAATCAGTTTTTTTATCAATATGTGCTTATTTATCTTAGATAGCTAGTGTTATTATGTTTATTGTAACCGACTATATATAAAGATAATCTTATCTTAACTTAGCTTATCTTATCCTATACACTATTCATTAAAGATTACAGGTTTGGGTTCGGGAACCAATATTCAAACTGGTCCTTACAAAATATCTAGCGGACATGTATACGCTGCGAATGACATATCCTCAGGCATAAGTGGTGCAATACAGTTTTTCTATTTTGCAAATAAATGGCATATTTTGTTGTAACAGTTATAAGAATCACCAGAAAAGGTAATTGATTCCAAATTTAATTAGAATGGTAAGTTTTTGTCTCGGTTAGCTATGTACGCCTTTTCCATTCAGCGTATAGCTTATATAATTATGAATCAGTTTCGATTTCTTAACCTTTTTAGTAACGAAAGCTCGATCACAAGTATGATTGTAGATTTGGGATAATACGAGTATAAATTGGTACTTTGTTGAATACAGTTGCGTAACACTGGATTAGTTAATATTTTGAAGTCCAAATTTGTTTATTTATACATTTTATTTTTCATTTAACATGTCGTGGTCTTCCAAGTTCTATATTAATCCACGAAAAACAACATCATGAACATATAATCCTACACTTGGTAGGGATTTTGCTGAAATAGACTTGACAAAGTTGGATAGTTAAAAATGAATGACATACATTGGTAAAATGAGAACAAAGATCAACAAGTCAAAGACGACGTTCATATTACGCAGCCCCGACACAATTCAGCCACAACAGCAGTGGGCCTAGAAGGCACCAAACCAAAACCGGTAGAGAAAACTTTAAAAAAAATTTAGTATAGTGGTTCTGAATTGAAACTTTGAGATTGTCTAGTCTAAGACATTTTCACGCACTGTCCTGAATTTATAGGTGTATTTAATAGTTCCGTATACATGTATCAATTTTATTTCAAACCACCAAAGGCAAAGGTTTTAACACTTCATCTACGCAATACTTCTTTATAATCGTTGACGACTACACTTAGCAAGTGCGTTGTCTGTGAATACTTGTTACAACAAATACATGTTATGTGTCATTTATTAGGAAAGAGCAGTTATAAGGAACTATAAGATATATAGGAACAGTTTTGACTAAGAATTGGTAGAGAAGGGATGCTGCTGACCAGTAAATAATATCTAAATTGGGACTAGCTTATAAGGACACAGGCAAATCATACCACAGACGGATTATATGAGAAAGGAAAAGAGTATTAGTGATAATATGATATTGAGTATTGTATCTGGTGTGTCAGATGGCGATGTTCGGTCTACAGAGAAACTGCCAGTGAGACATTTCAACACTCCAAAATTCAAGTGATTTAACCTTGCTAGAAGAAAAAAAGGAAAGAAAGAACTTTTTTGAAATAAGACAGAAGAAATTAGGAAGAGCACTAACAAGATCAAGTGCAAAATGGATTCTAGAAGGTGAAAAACCTACTCAATATTTTTGTAACTTAGAAAATAGAAATTTCACTTCAATTTTCACCTGTTGACTATAATTATTATCATTCTATAAGGAAATCTTCTACCGTCCTGATTTTTTTTCTAAAAAAATAAATATTAAAAATAGGTAAAATATAGTAATACTTATTGCCGTTATCACATTTACACGAGCAATAGCAACGTAGAATGTTTAAAATAAAATGTAAACAATATGGACACTGTCATTGAAATGTTATCAGGAGATATTCACCTGTTTCATTTTCACATTTATCTATCATCATAAAGGTTAAACCTACTCATCATTGGGATGATATTTCAAACGTACGTACAGACAGACAGACGAACTTTGATCAACTATCCCTGAACCCGTGATGGTGATAATGTTCTATAAACTACTGCCCTGATCAAATTATTGTGAAATTACATGGTTACGGACGTGTCTATAACTTTAAATTAAAATACTAAAATTTTCAGTAAATCTGTGTTATTCGTGAAGACGATAGTATATTTTAAATAAATTGATCAGAAACAATTATTCAATAGAACAGAAAGTATGAAATATCTGGCGGTGATACTGATTTTGTGCGTTGGGAATACAGGTTTGTTTCTTTTTTATATTAGGTATTCATTCATACTAGGTAGAAAAGAATTGTAAAACTAAAAATAAATAAAAGAAAAAAAGAAACCAAAGAAAAAAAATGTAGCCCAACACAGGAATAAATTTTGAAAAAAAAACAACAAAAAACAAAAAACATTTGTTATGAAGATGAAGATAAATCAGAAAGAAGTTGACATGATCGACTTACAACTGGTAATAAAGTTACATATATATCTATTGCATCTTTATGAATTAAACATTCGTACAATGAAAGACATTCTGAACGCAACACCTAGGGAATCGTTATCGTTCAAATTTACAACATATTTTTTCTCATATGTTTTGCTTGTAAATTCGATTGTAATCAGATTACAAAAATAGTGAAAAATCTTTTAAATAGTTTAACATAGCTGTACAAAAATCGCAAGAATCATTACAAAATATAATAACAACATGATAATGATGATTTATCACAGCAATTATCATTGAATACATTCTAGAATGAAGGGATATATCTACACACATCTCTGACGTATAGATCAAATATATAAAGTACATGAACATTATAGTTAAATGTATATCACTTAGTAACGTACACAATTCTGTGTCATGTTCATCCGGACTTATTCCCGCATTAGGATTTATTTCCGGTAGCGCCCACGGTTGCACCGCTCGCTTCCCTTACGAACGGACCAAATCAACTCATCCGCAAATGTAAATTAAAATAAAATGTAATGTTACATTGTAAATGAAGTGTATGTACTTTTAAAGATTTTACATTTATGAGCAATATTTAAAGTATATATCTAGTATTTAGAAAATGTGCGCAAATTTACACGACTTATTTTGAATGACCTATCTGGTGCAGCTGATGGCGCGCGCATTTTCGAAATTGCATGTGAATGATTTAATAATTCAAAGATTTCCTTTTTACATGCTAATTCCAAAAAAATAATGCATAAAATAAATTAAAAAAATGCTCACATACTTTTCTAGTGTAGAAACTAACATTCCTACAAATTCCACTTCAATGAACAGATGAATACAATGACATTTTTCACAAAATTGTTAAATTTTCGGGTCAGTTACTGTATAGCCCGTTTCCAAGTCATAGCAAACAATGTACTCTTGATTTTATTGGAACCAAAGAAAGCGAGCGTTATTGATATACCGGCATCATGTATGTACATAATGAGCCGCGTCATGACAAAACCAACATATAGTGCGTTTGCGGCCAGCATGGATCCAGACCAGCATGCGCATCCGCACAGTCTGACCAGGATCCATGCTGTTCGCTATCAGTTTCTCTACTTGATATAGGGTTTGTAAGCGAACAGCATGGATCCAGACCAGCCTGCGTGGATGCTGGTCGCTAACGCACTATGTTGGTTTTGTCATGACACGGCTCAAATCTGCTTCCGGCTTATAACCATTTTTATAATATTAGTGTTTCCCTAGAAGGAATTTAGGTAGGTTAAACCTGTGTTAGAAGTGTCTCTCAGCTTTATGATATCATATACACAGTAGATTCAAAACAGTGTTCAACATTTAAATGGCCACCATTTGAAATGCTCGAATCACGGAAAACATAATCATAGACATAACACTTTTGAGAGGCAGTTAAACTACGGACCAAATTATTCTGAGGTTAATTAACTTCTAGGAGAACGATAATCTAGAATCACTTTATTTCTGTAAAAAAACCCGATTTTTTACCAGCTCAAAAAATACTAATAATGAAATACTACATACAGTTTGTAAATTATGAATATGCTTTAGTTACACAGAGAATCGTTTACTATTATTTCAAAACTTCTCTCAAATTTTGATATCATTCATTTTATCATATTCATATTACAATTAAATCTTCTTCTGTTTTTTCATTGTTAAAGTGTAAATATCTGTTTCTAGTTTCAGTCAAACATGTTTTATATCTTTATATATCAATGAAAATACTACAATTTAATATCATTTCATTGTTAAAGTGTAAATTTGTATTTCTACTTTCAGCCAAACATGTTTTACATCATTATACATGGATGATATCAGCATAGTTTTAAGTTGTTATCAAAAATAAACATGATAAAATACGATTTACTCCCATATAGACATTATCTATAACGAGATTGTACTGGTATGTACATGGGTACAACTTACATGTACATACAGAGATATCCTACCCTACTTGCTAACTAGGGATCGGCTATCAATGAAACGTGTTTACTTTATACTCTTAAAAAAAGTTATATTTTTATTTATTTATTTATTTATTTATTTATTTATTTATTTATTTATATATTTGAGGAAACCAAGCAATTTAAAAGAAACAATTTTAATGATGTACATATACATATATTGTGGTTAAAAGATAAAAAAGCTATAATGTGTCACACGGAATGTAAATACACATACAATTCTAGAACTATGAATATTGTTATATCCTCCGAGATCAATAATGCCGTTGAACAGTGAATGCTGCTTAAGCCGGTGCTGGGGGGGGGGGGGGGCTTGACAGATTTTGTAATTTCGATTATCTCTCATGAACAGACTCAAACCGAGTCTACAAATTTCACAAAATAACCTTTGTTTTCATTCTCCCGAGGGATATTTTCCTGATTTTCTTAATTTACATATTTCTTGTTATCTTAAAATGTGTGTAATCTAGTGACGAAAGGTAAGCACATGTATCTCAAAACAGTTGTCTTTAGTGAATGCATGTATTTGAGATAGTTTTGAATATGTTGTCACATTACGTTAAGGATTCTATTCTCTGCTAATCTCAAATAACGTATCCTTAAAGAATGATCCAGACGGCATAATTGAAATGTTTATGGGAAATGCAAGCTACCGATCGTGTCCCCTAGCACCGGCTATTCCAACTTATAAAAGTCGCCAATCATGCATTATTACAATTTTGACTTTCGGCTTATTTGATATAATATCTCTATCATATATAAATATCAAATGTGTTATTGTTGATGGCCTTTTTATCATGTAAATAAAGTGCCATGCGAAGTCAATCTTAATGCAATAAACATGGGTATGACACATGAAACATTCTGTACGGAATATACAATATTTCCACTACAAGTTTAAAAATATCTGTCATATTTTGCGGTTCGGATCGGAATATCCGTCCCGAGGTGACCCGCCCATGAGCGAGTGACCGAGGGACGAATATTCCGATCCGAACCGCACACATATGTCAGATATTTTTTCTTGCATATTCTACCATATTCCATTATATTTTAAATTTTTATCTTTAAATTCAAAGGAAATTTATATCATTGCAACAGTAACTACTTTCTTACAACAGCGTATGAATTACAACTTCATTCATAACGGTAAAATGACGCCATCCTAAGCGTGCTATTGTACAGCACGCGACACACCTGGCACCCCCCCCCCCCCCCATGCCAGATGAAATTTCCGGCATGGGTAAAACTCACGGAAACGCCAGTCTGATATGCAAGAATAAACATTCCATCTATTTTTTGTGAAAATTATTGCAAAGAAATGCTTTATTAAAAGTTATCACTGATAAAAAACATATTTAAACCTGCATTTTTTTTGCTGTCCTTATCCTGTCTTTTAAATTGTAATATTAAAATGCAGTTTCTAAATGGCATGTATACAAAATGTCCTCGGTCTGCAAATTTATGAGAGATAAGATTATTCAATTAAAATGTTCACGTGGTCAGTTTGTTGAATTGCCAAATGTAAAAGTTGAAAGGTTATCATGTTTTCCTGGGATAAAAATAAATGTACGACATGTAGTAGTTAAAGGGACTCCACTGAGATTTTTTGACAATGATGGGACTGGAAATATTTGTTCGAGATAAATATTCCATTTCGTGTAGGACTAGAAAAGTAACTTATGTGCAAAATTTCAGTTCATTGGATCACTTTGTATTTCCAGAATAAATATTCCAATTGTGAAAAATGATCGATATTGAAAATGTTTGCAAAGCCTTTCACTCAAATCGGACAATGTATAGTAATATTTATTTTTGAGTATATTTCTTAATTATATTTTGCATATCTCTTTCTGCATAACAAAGGATTTTCACGTACTGTATACTAATGCCTGATTGTACTACGTTAATGTTGATATCAAAAGATTAAACAGGGAATAAATCGGAATATTTAATGGTTTTATCAGAGTTAGGAAAAAATACCATTCAATATACAAAATTTGCTAGAACAATCAATAACTATCAATATATTTTTGAGTACTATTCTCTCTAGACCTTAGCATGTAGAGGCGGCTTGAAAGGCATACACTAAGCTGGCTTAATGTAGCTTACAAACCTTTTTCAGTTATTGTTTCAGGTTACTTTAAGCTTCTCATTGCCCGCGGAACAGTGACATTTTTTCGTTTCAGAATTAATCTCTTTGGCTATATTTCACAGAGGTTAATTATCACTACATCTTGCTTCAAAATCAACCCTTTTAGAATATGTCTTATAGCATGTCTTCGGCCAGTATGCGATAGCGAAAGCTACCTTTTGTTTTTTAACAGACGGATGGATCCTCATTAAATATAGATTAATGTTACATCTCTTTATACATTAGCCATTTTTCTATACACCGAGGTAATAATGTTAATTATACAAAAGAAGTTAGTACTATGTACCGTGTTATTTCAGTTCGAGCTGCCCCAGCCCTAGACTTAGAGGATGGCAATGATTTGGCAATAAATGTGACTTTAATTCCCATGACAACTGGAGGAGCTGCCACAATAAACCCAGCTACAGGCCAGACAGTGTCAGCAGCGTCTATGCCACCGGCTTCAGGAAAAACAGACACGGCACCAACCATTGGACCAATTACATCAACACCGGGTAAGTCCCCGGGATATGCTTAAAATGTTGTCCACAAATATGTCTATAGGTTTCTTTCGTAACAAAAGAAAACAAAATTATGCATTCTTTGTATTAATAAGAAAGATATCATACCATATTCTTTTCTCCTTGTTGCTGATGATGTATTTGATATTTGGCATGATTGAAAGATTATGTAACCTCCTCTACATGATATGCATATCCACATATTTGATATAAAAACTTTCTAAAGCAAACAGCTGTCTACAAGAGAGAAAAAACAACAGATTTTACTTCAACAGATCATTCTGTTAATGAATTCACATGTATCCTATGGTTTTCTTTTGAGGTTGTGAAAGATAACATCGACCGATTGTGCAATCCACAAGTAAAAAACACTTTATACGGATTTGGATTTCATCAAACTAAGTTACTTGGTTTGACAATAATGCGTTAACTTCTGCTGGTGCAACTAAGGTTACCCATGCGACCATTGCAGACCAAGGCCAATCAGTACATCCGTGCCGTCTGATCATAATATGCACTGCATGGCGCTATTCAGTCAGTAAAACGTCCCCTAAAAGTGAAAAATGGTTTGTCCAGATTGAAAGACGGGCAACTCCATTTAAGGTATTGCTAAGGGTAATATTGATGATCGTGTGTCAGCCTATATAATTACCACGTGCATGATGCAGACGATGACCTTCGTCTGCACTTGTCGCATGTGAGGAATCTGTTTCCGCTGCAGAGCAATGTTTAAACTTAAGTTCCTAAAGACAAGGTTCACACCCATTTTGTTGTTATTATTTCGTAGAAGCTTTAAGATGTGTGATATACAAGTCCATTGATTACATGTATCTACCCGAAAGTGACACTGCAAAACACTAAATGTGATGCATGAAATTAGAGATAAAATGATGGTCTTAAATATTACTTTTTGTCTCGAGCTAGTTTATATAAAACACAAATCTACAATGTTGCTCCTGTATCTTTAAACAAAGATCGGGACAAACCGTCCTTCAATTGCTTTCAATTTTCCAGATTATTACTGTGATCGCATTACTGTTTTGCAGGGTCAGCCATTCCCGTAACCATTATTACGCTCGAACCAACAACACCTGCTACAATAGTCCCTATTGTAACCACACTACCTCCAGGCAACCCTACACCCGCACCACAAAAAGGATTTGATGGTGGATCATTTGGCGGGGGTATTGCGTTAGGAATTGGACTTTGTATAATCATCTTTGTGGTGTACAGAGTATATGCAAGTCGGCGCCAAGGTGGATACAGAACAATGTAATAGCTTTAATTGTGGTGACTGTAAACATGGCCTATCGTGACTTTCATGGACAAATGATGTATGAATGCAGAAAACACACGTCAAACATGCGATATCGTGTAACCAATGACTGTGTTACAGAACTAATGTTTAAACGTTCGTTTTTGTTTGTATAAACGTATTTTATTGAAAGTTGTGTGTTTAATTCGATGTTATATTTATTTGATATGATGATGACAATTGAAATATTATTTGTTATGCTTAATTGTTGCATACACGTAAATGCAACATGCACATTTTATGACGTTTTTGGCAATAAATTATTAAAAGATAACGACGAATTGTATCTAACAATTTCAAATATAAATTTAAAAATATATGATTGCTGTTGTGGAACTATTTTAGAAATTGAACGTTTATTTTCCGTAGTACACAATATGCACAATTTATGTATTTGCTTACATCGTTGTAAAAATATATAGAAATCTCTAGGTTTATACAATTTTTATTTTGATATTACCAATCTAAATTTATGACGTCATTACTCTTGAACACAAACTGTTACGTTTTACTCGTTCCTTCGTATTTCATGAAAATATTGCACATGTCCTCCACGCAGTGTAATCTAATTTTTGTATTGAAAATGCAAGAAAAAAACAGAGTGTCTTCTTTTAGACTAGTTTAAAGACTCTTCACAACAGCAGGTGTCAAATGCCGTGTGGCAGCTGTAAAATTTGCCCCGTACTTCATTTCAGTGTTCATTCTTTTTTTTTGTCCTTCGGGATAATTGATTCCATCACCTTTAAGTGTTGAAAATTAAATACCGCTTAAGCCGGTGCTAGAAGGCGTGAGGGATGTTGCACATGTTCATTATCGCTCATGCACAGACTTAGTCAAACCGAGTCTGCAATTTCATGCAATTTTGTTGTGATTAATGCTTTCGAGGGATCGCACTTTTTATCCCTTTTTTATCCTATTTTTTATGTCTAAAAAAAGACAAATTTCCTTCTAAAAAAACGGCAATCATTAGTTTCATAATGTTTTTTTAATGTTTTTAGTGAATTAATGATACATATCATCAACAGAAAGTAGCGCTGAATTTGAAATTATCTGTCTTTATAGTAGCAAAATGTAAACAAAGTAATAATTTGACGTCCAATAAAAATTAATAGATAACTTAATAGGTGCTAATTGCAAAATAAAAGCAAAAGAAACAAAAGATGGTCTAGGTAATTGGCCAATAAGTAACTTTTAATTTTTGAAACTATAACAGGTAACAAAAAAAGACTGTTCTGATTTTCTTCCTTATACTATTTCTTGCACCAGTTAACAACCTCATCGGACCGCCATACAATATTCTTCATAGATCAATAAAAGTTAAACCAAATAAATAGAATAAAAAACAGTATATATATGAATTGTTAATGTTGACAGATTAAGTTTCACATATATCTATTACAAATCATGTTTAAACGATAGTTTGAAAAAATCGTTCTACCATGATTTTGTTGTCTTTTAGATGTTTTGCAAAGTATACGCCATTTTCTAGATTAAACACCGGAATTTCATAAATTCATTACAGTTTCATAATTGCAATGCTAGAGAATTTGGAAATATGTAAAAAAGTATTATTCATGAAAAAGTGACATTTGGGAAAAACTTTGCTTTAAACACCCTATATATGTATTTCATTTCACGATTAAGTGTCGCATAATTAGGCAGTTTCAACTGTAATTTCATTGTCTATTCACATACACTGTGATGACCCAAACGGGACACCGTAGTTACAAGATTTCGTTGATTTTCACAATACTTATACCGCAGCACGTGCATTCATATTCGTATATATTTGATCACAGGTGGCAGTATCAGTGTTTGGACACCCCACCGCACCCTGCCCCTGGACCCCTGCTACAACCCTGAAAAAAATAATTCAACACTCTAAGGCTTACTATAAGATACCAAATACAAAACCACTGATAAAATTATATATGAAAAAAAATCCACTATCAAAATTATAGTTATAGAAAGGTGGAAAGCCTACTATATGTTCATTTGCCAAACAATGTGGAACACGGGAAATCGTCGTTTCGGCAACTGAGGCGCTTTGCAGCAGGATTTCGCTGCATCATTCATTAAGATCAATAAAAAGAACTAGAATTCCACATCTTACCTAATTCAAGTCCAACGAATATCAATATTCTATCGATTTTTTTTCTGATACTGATACGATACTGCCACCTGCGTATTTGATATCCACTTTTGTGTGTCGCCAAAAAAGCTTTATCCGAATAATAACAATTAAATGGACGTTTTGTTTTATTACAGTTTAAGTAGGTTTGAAAATTTGTTTTTCACGAGAAAGTAGTTCTTATGTTATTTTAATTTCCTAGTGACCAACACAACTATGACCGTAACTTCACCGATAACTATGATTACTGACCATACCATGACTACCAACACCATGACTACAAACACCATGACTACTTCTAATGTCACCATGGTAACAATGGAAACCACAGGTAAATACATATTTAATATCTCGTGAATTTTATAATCCCCAACACTTTAGACTCTGTAGCCCGTCTCCGACCAAGCCCCTGTAATAACACCAATGTCCTTTTAATTGATGATATTGTGGATGTTTGGTTCCCATTCTTTACATATAAAAGATAACAAAGTTGCATACGAAAAGAATAAATATTTTCATGCTGACATGTAATTTGATATCATCTAGCTTGGTTTAAACGTATTTATTCAAGCTCCATTACGAAACAAGTTCTTGCAACTTATATTAATCACTTTCGAGTCAGCTTAGTACTGGTGTCGTATGAAGAAACATGGTCGTGACCCAATTAGGGCTCAAACCCATGATTCCTGGGTTGAGAAGCAGACACCTTAAGTTAACCACCACTAGTCCACCGCTCCCGTCATTTGATCCCATTGTTTGAAAATGTCTGTCTTGTTTGCATGCAGAAAAGTAAGGCCTTTTGAATATGAAGGAAAAAATGTTTTAAGTTAATATGGAATACATCCCTCTTCAAATTGCTTAACATGTCATTTTCTTGAAAAATAATTGATATTTCTCATTTCTTATTGAGATACTAGTATAATCAGAATCCATTCATAATAAAAGAAAAGAGACAAATACCCGTAATGACATATATATTGGTAAAACGTTATGTTGAAGTCTATGTGAATATTGGCCATATCTTTAAGTCCTTAATAAAAATAGTAAATTGACATTGCAATGGTTAAGATTTCAGATAACAAGATAAATCATCATTTTGTTTTTTTGTATTCCTAAATGATTTATTTTATAATGACTTCAACATATAGTACGTGTGATTATCAGGACTTGTGATCTTGAATAAAAAACAACTGTATTTTGATTGTAGAAGCTACATCGGCCGTTACTGTCACAGGAAGTATGCCAACTATGACAAGCACCCAAACGACAAAATCAACATCAGCTCCCAATCAACCTACTCCAAAACCTAAACACGGCTTCGATGGTGGTTCGTTCGGTGGTGGTATAGCCCTGGGGATAACGCTAGCAGCGATAATTATTATCGCTTACAGGTGTTACATTATTCGGAATAAACCAAAGGCAGAGAGACCCTAATTCACTAAAGACTTAGACTTCTGTTATGAAGTGAAAGCAAACAATAATCCGTTTTCATTTTGAATATAAGGATCGTGATATCATCTATATCTCATACTTTTTTATACAGATATCATATCATCGATATAACAAATCTAGTCTATATAGAGAACAAACATAATACTTAATACAATGTACTAATTTATTTTAGTAAGATTGTTTTGAAACACTCTCGAATCCGTTCCTGGAACCAACCAGTACTAAGCCGTGACAGTCCGACGCGTTAACCACTCGGCCACGCCGACACAATCTCCCATATCATGTATCACCCAACAGTATAAATCTGAATCCATACTGTTTTGAGAAAAGTCGTCTGCTGGTATAAGAACTGACAGGTTCAACCATTTATAGGCCACATTGGGCTTAACACAAACCTTTCTGAATTTGTATAACAGAATCACTGTGCTTTGAACTTTGAACCACTCCATTATTTTTCAATGATTTCAATATTAAAACAATAAATGGTTTACATATTGGTCAGACTTTACAGGTGTAACTTGTCGTGTGGCGTCTGAAAAAAAAACTTGTCTGTCCTTCGTTTTAGTATTATTTTATTAATTAAAGATATGCATACTGACCTTGGCCTTTTATGTTGTAGATTCATGGTTATGAAAGAGTTATTTTTATTATCATTATTCATCTTCTTCGCGTAAAACGCAAACAAAAGGTGCAATAACATTTATTGCGTTTGTACTAAAATGTAGAACGAAAACATAATAAATTCTCTTCGCCTTTCTTACCATATTTTTACAGGTTTTGTCTGTTTGTTTTTTTTTTGCTTGTTTGTTTCATAACTAAAATCTAATAAACCATCCTTACATTTTGTTTAGACATGTTGTCTTTCTACATATTATATACTATGTCTCTGTCCTTTGATGTCTTTTTGCGAACCAAGAAGAATGGAGCCAACAAGAACCGAAACAAACATTGCAGTAACAACAGTAAACCGACGAAACATACGACCAGTCAAAGTTTCTTATTAAAACCGCCATTTATAAAAGCGTTTACGTACAATAACACTAAAGTAAAGTTTTATAAGGAATTAACGGGAAATTGTCAAGCTCAGATACACAAGGACACATGAAAGAAGTGGTTGTCCAAGTAGTCTGTAGTTACGTCCCCTTACTTTACTTTATCCCAGTTCTTTCCAATTACTTTACATCATTCTTAGAGTGCAATCGGGTACAAAGCAATTAGTTGTACGGCAAGGGAGAACATTCATGGCTTCTTTGTTATACGTTTGCAAAAAGAACTAGTATATTATGAACTATCAAATACAACGAGGGGTTGATAATTTTACGGCATGTTTTAAGTTGATTTCTTTGTATCATTCCACTTTTGTACTGCTACCATTTCCAATTTTGCATGAAAATTTCAATGCAATATTCTCTTAAGATTGGTACAATTTCTGAATATATATAAAAATTCAGTTCTTGTATTATTAATTCAAACTTCAAAATTCAAAAACTACCATTATTGGTATTCAGTACTGCATTTTTAGCTATATCGCAAATGCGGTTTTTATTTTTACTTTTTTGCTTTAGTTGCTCTCGATTAAAAAGCTATATCTTATTTCGACAATACGAATACCCATTGAAATAAATAACACTAGTAACACCAATTAATTCTTTACACGAGTGTATTAAGTCCGCATAGAATAAACAATACATGTACAGTGAATGAATTCAAAATAAGCCTTTTTTAGCCAATTAAAAGTAGAACGAAGATTCACACTGATCATTTAATTATTCACTACACCACTACACGTACAGTGCCCGGTAATGTGAACGCACATACGCTACAGGATGAAAGTGGCCTACAGCTTTTAATTTTACTTTTTATTTATTCATTTATTTTGTTGGAAAAAAAACAGACAGTTATATTTTGTTTCAAACTAAGTATTTCAGTAACTTTATCATATCTTGAGTTTTTTTATAGATAGATATTCAGTGACGTTTGCTTCTAGGAAACGAATCGTCTGCTTTGTAGGAGCACATTTGTCTCGGAGCACATTTGTCTTACGTAAGACCAATGCGGTCGCATTTGTCCCACATGAGACAAATGGGACCTCAAATGTCTACCCCAAAAAACTCATTTGTGTGACAAATGTGCTCCGATCAAGTTTTTTAAGGGACAAGAAAGCACATTTGTCTCATGTGTTTTTAAGGAACAAGAAAGCACATTTGTCTCATGTCATTTTTTTATGAATTATTTGTCACATTATTCCCACGGCAGAAATTCTTTTTTAGAATCGAGGTTCGCCGTTTGACCTCATGTCAAGTGTAATCATTAATAGGTTTAAACCGCTTATGCTTTCTTTATAAAAACCTAAAGTGAACTATTAATCATAATATTTCTAATTCAAGTTATTGATTGGCTTAACCTGAAGGCGTACATTGAAACAAACTAAATCCCGTTCACGATGGTACAATGGTGACAGCGCGGTGGCACGATGTTACGTTGATGAAAACGCGATAGTGCGATGGTGAAAACATAATGGTACGAACGTGAAACAACGACTGTACGATGGTGAAACAACGATTGTACGATGGTGAAACAACGAAGGTTCGATGATGAAAACGTGATGATACTATGGTGAAAGACGATGTAACGATAGCGAAAATACGATGGTACGATATGATGAAACTGCGATGACATGATGATGAAAACGCGATATTATTTTCTCTATCGTGTCATCGCATCATCGTGATTTCACCATCGTGTCATCGTGTTTTAATCATCGTACCATCTCAATTTCACCTTTGTGCCATTGCGCATAGCTGTTCAGGGAGTCAAAATGTTACTTATGTCCAAACGGAATACCGTAATCGGTTGATATTGAATGATACAATATCGTGACTCGTTTCGCATCTTGCCGAAATCTCGCATCTCGCTTCGCATCTAGATAGTCGACGCGAGACAAGAAATTGATTCCAGGTCATATGCCGCTAAGTAGTATTCCCTTTATAGTCTATATAAAATCACTTAAAGGCACATTATGCCTGAGAAATGCTTTTATTTGTATACCTTAAAAGCTTTGTATTTTTGGTATACTTTTATAGCTCCAAAAAAATTACTCATTGGCTAATTACCTAAAGCATTTTTCATCTGCTGCTTTTTTGCAGTTTGTACAGTTGAAGTGATTTAGAATTTTGTATTGAAGTCAAAATACTACATTTTTATGACGCATTATTTCACATTTATCGCGAATTTCTTTAGATTACAAGCATCTAAACTCCTCAGAAATCATTATTTGAATATTAATAAATTAATACTTGCTCTAGAAGTAAAAATTTATTCATTTCTGAAATCTCGTGGTACGGGATAATTCGACATTGCGAGATCTCGTGTTACAAGATCGTGCCTCGCTTCGTGTCTCATCGGAATGTCGCGTCTCGCACGATTCTGAGTCGTCCGATATTCCATAATTATGGCATTACCCGGATTTTTTTAGGAACTCATACATGTTGTAAGTGCTTTTTCAATGGCGGATCTGAAAGCCGCAATTCTTGGAAAATGGCGATTTTTACATACATATATTTCTGATGAAAACAAAATACGTGTGTAATGGTCTTCTTATTTTCTTCCATAGATCATTTAAGGGCCTCCGTGGCCGATTGATTAAAAAAAAAACACTTGTCCCTAACCGCTGTAGGTTCGACATATACACGGGGCATCTAACTATTCATCGAACTTTGCGAGGATCCCGGTCAGTGTCCAAATGCGGAATACATATCCGCATGCGCACGTCATAGCTATCGCGTGCGCACGTAATAGTATCGCGTGGCCACGTAAAAGCTATCGTGTGCGCACGTAATAAATAAGAAAATTGTATGTCCCCTTTATGCCACCGTAGATACTACCTTGTTTTTGCTAAGAATATTTCTAGTGCCATAAATCATTTTAAAACTTTAAGCATTGAAAATAAACGTATGATAACAATAGACTTGCTGCATATGTGTTTAGGTTCTGGATGCTGCACTTGTAGAAATTTTCATTGTGACATGCAGAACAGGGATATTCTTTAATTTAATATATGACTCCTATGCAGAGGCAGGAAGTTTTTAACTGACCGGAAGTGACCTAAAAACGGTTTAATAAATACAGAAAACACTGAACAATGGCTGGTTGCCGGTAAACGGACGGGCATAATTATTACCTTTTAAGAATTTTATGGAAAAATGTGAGACAAATGTGCTTCGAGTGTCCTTTCTATTGTGTGTCGAACACATCTGTCTCATTTCCAATTTGCCGCAAATATGAATGTTTACAAACGCATCGGTCACACTTCGTGAGACAAATGTGCTCCGAGACAAATGTGCTCCTACACTGCTTTGCTTATTTACATATAGAGTGGGGACCGGTTGATTAGAGGTATCGAGACATTTTCTTACTGTTATGTATTTAATCGACGACACATTTTATTTTTCACATGAATTCTTTTTATTCATTTTTCACCAGAATTATTTCGATTTGACTCGATTTGATTTGACAATTACATCAATTGATTTATCTACACCTTTAGAAAAAATTAAGACCGCTTTAAGGCATGCACAACTATCTATATCACGATTATGCGAATAGGCTCTGATATGATAAACCGAAGGCGTAAATGTGCCCAACAAGTAACTACTAGATAAAAATTAATAAATTCAAATCAAGTTAGAAGGGACTCACTGACTAACTATCATTATAACAATTAGAAAAACAACAACAGCAACAACACAGCAATTCTTGGTATTCAATAGAGAGATGACATATTAGCACGAATGTACGACATGTATAGTATGTTCACATCTAATATTTATCATTTATCAAAGTTTGTTTCCGATATAAATTATAGTAAGTAAAACCGGAAATATATAATTACTAATATCAATCATACGGGTTTAAATATATCTATCCGTACTTCTAATATGCACATAAACTCAAGCAATTGCATGTTTGTTTGAGGATATATCATTAAAATTATATCTATGGCAAACACAATCATCATGGTATGTTCCTTACTTGGATTAATACATCTCGGTAAGTAACTACGTATTTGCTGTTTTTAAAAAATATCAAAACAACCATATTATTTTCTTACCTTATGTTCGGAATGATTAAAAACTTAATACATTTAAAATCTAGATTGTTTAAGAACGACTATAAGCCTTAAATTTTACGTAAAATGATAAATGATTAGAAATCCATATGTCAGCAAATGTCTTTTGGAAAGTCATATATAGTCTATTAGTCTATTTATATAACATATTTCCCTATGCATTCAAAGTGTCATAAAACCAGTATATTTTAAAAGGATTTGCCTTAGGTTTTATGAGGTAATTTAGGAAATTTGCAGAACAAAAATGCCAATGCCAAATTTGACAGAAGATGTTTTCAGTCTTTTGAATTTCGAATACATAGCTTTTTTCTGTTTTAATGGTTCAAAAGGGACATACTTTTCCTATGTGTCCTTATAACAGACAAGCAGGTATATACTTGGCTTGAAAATGATTCAGAAAGGATAAGGTCTTTGCAAACAAACGAAAGTTCTTTTTCTGTGAACATTGAAATTCAATCCGATTTCTCAACTTTTTGCAAGTTTAAATACAGTAGATCTTATCATATTGCAGATATATGTGTCGTAGGCAGATACTGCAGCGATAGCGATTCAGGTATAGTAACGGATACTTCTTTTAAATGTAAAGAAGAAATGCATGAAATCTATTTTCTCTGACAATTAATTTCAAATAATCAGATAATAAATTTGAAAAAAAAACAAACAAATATTTTGTTATAAATTTCTTAATACCATGAAAAATTGAAATAAATTTAAGGTGCCTAAGAATTAAATATACTATTGTAATAGTTTCAAAAATGTTATCTATGTGTAGTTTTATTGCATTACGAGTATAGCATCGTTTATAAAAAGTAAGGATATGTTTCACGCCGACACAGATACCCAAAAACAGATTTTCTGGTACACTAGCCAAATCTTACAGGCACCAATACTCGTCCTCATGTATAAATAAATGCTAACTTATTATCAATCTGATGACGAAATAGTGAACACCACAGCCCATTAATAGACTATGACTAAATGACGCTAATTGTGCATTTACTGTGACAATATTAAGTCTGGTTTTTAATGTTAAGAATTATATATGCTACTTAAACATCTTTATATAGAACTGAATACGATGGATTTAAATCATACGGTTAGGTAGGGTCTAGGCATACCTGGGGTTGTTAGGTTTGCAGGTGTAACGTTTTAAGTCACACAAATCCTGTCGGTGGAAAGCAAGCTGACAACAGAGAGTGGTTTATGCCCTTATATATGGGATACTTTCCGATATTTTAATTCACCACCTTTAGATTTTGCATATTGCAAGGCTCATTATGAGTTTTATGACGTTCTGCCAGCGTCGTTACACAAATAACAGTTCGGACAGTTCCAAATTATTCCAATGATTTCAATGAAGATTGTTTTCTAGTACTTGTAGCAGAAAACAATCAATAAAGTACTATAATCAAGTTATTAATGTTTGCGTAAATCAGTGAGATACGTGAAGAATGCCAGCTTTTTAAGCAAGTTTATAATTGTATATTTTGACAAATGAATAAGACAATACTATTTTATTCCATTTTTTGTTCTTTAGCATCGTCGTTTAGCATAAGTTGTATGAGAAACATACTATTTACATCAACAAAGATTAGCACTTTCACATCAGGAATATCCACAACATCTGACTCCATAGAAACTAGCGCATTCTCTTCGCCTAAATCTTCAACAACATATGGCAACTCAACAGTTTCAACGACAGGACAAACGGACTCTTCAAGAAAATCATTTATCTGTATGTTTTTCATCAGATGCGAATTCTTTCTTTTGTTACGACTTAGAGTACAATAAGTATTTGAATGATATATTTATATGTAAGCTTCTATAATGTCATTGTATTAACTTTATAAGCAATTTCAAATATCGAATATGCTTGAGTCAACTTCTATTCATTGTATCAGTAAAAGTAAATGTACAAGCTTTCGACATCATACTAGTTACAGATACCAAAATGTTATGCTAGTACACATCTTAAAACATTTCTTTTCAGACCCATTAGTTGGTTCAATATGTGGTCTTGTTTGTTTGGTTATTGTGGTATGTGTTATTGTTTGCCTCAAAAAGTAAGTTAAAATTAAATAAAGCAAAGCTGTTACTGTTTAGATTTTTACGTCTGTTTGAAATTTTATCTGAACTGAAATGAATCCAACATGTAAACTATTGTTTAGAAAGATTAAATGTCAAATTTCGACCAGGGTATTAATCAATTTCATTTCATGATAGACATTCATGATATACGTGTATATGTGCTATTTATCAGCCTTTTGGTCTGGAAAAGAAATTAAAGCATGTAATTAAGGCATAACGATTTATGCATAACAATTATACGAAACAATCTTTCATATATTCCTATATTTTATTTAAACAAAAATATCATTCAAACATTTTTCTCTCTATACATAACAGGAGATGGATTCAGGATACAACACAACCCCGTGCACAAAACGGTAGCAAAGGCAGACTTTATGAGAAATCTATTTATATGTCAGGGGATCACGGAGTTGCAATTCATTCAAACAGACCTCAGACTGAACATGAATATAATTACATAGATAAATTTGATGCCGACAATCGGGCAAGCTATTATGAAATTCCCTCTTGTGAAGCTGACAATAAACATCGTATACAAGCCACACTAGATGATGACTACGACTACTCTAGTTGCCTCACAATAGACAGAGATAAAACAGATGTTGGTAATAATGATATGATTGCGGCGCATACTAACAAGGGGATAGTTCAAAAACAAAAGTTGATAGCCAGGGATAGCATGTATGACAATTTAGAAAAAAGTCAGGCTACTCTTATCATAGGGGTAAACGATTATCATCATTTAAATCCAGGGACATTGAAGAGGGAGGAAGTTTTGGAAGCCTACCATACGATAGAAAGGGGTGGTAAAAGACAAAGTGAGTGTAGTGAAAGTGGGGATGAACCTGGTTATCACATAGCAAACGTTAGGTGATAAACGTCTTAGACAACATGTTTTGAAATGTAATACAAGTATACATTCTAACTATAATGATAATATCTCCAATTAAAAAATAACATTATAAATCAATTTTCGGAGTGATTTTTGAAAAACAGAATTGAAATAAAATTTGGATATTAAGAAATCATCTGATCAATATATTTGAAAACTTTAATCTCTAATTGATTCAATCAAGTATTTAAGTAATAAAATACACCTTGTGATGCACATGCGGAAGGCAAGACGCGTTCTCTTACTTAATAGCAAATAACCTATCGTCATGATTTTATGAATAATTACAATAATCAATGAATAAATTAAACACCCTGATTTGAATCGTTAAGCAGAAACGATAATACAATATAATGTGTGACAAATCAATAACAGAAAGTGTATTGATGAAGACGGTGAAAGTACTATTCGCAAGTAAACTCTTACCAGATTATGAATATATGCGACATAATGAATTATAACATGAAATAAAAAAAGAATCATAATAACATGTGCATAGAAACAACTTCCCAAAACAGCACAAGGGTGTGTATATGCCGCTTATTCACAAAACAATTCATACGTTTTTTTAAAGGTAATTAGCACAGTTTTCATTTGTTTTTAATATATCATCTTTACCATTTATTTTTGCAACTGTTCGTTATGCTTTCAAAAGTATTATACATATCTTTAACATTTCTGGTTTCAATAATTCAATAGTACAGAAATGATGAAATTCATGACTTGTTTAAGCGGCACAGCATTAGTATTTCACTTCACTGTGTCTGTCCATTTTATCTACATCAGCAATACTATCAAATATTTCTTAATTGTTTGATAAATTCACATTTATTTGACCTGATGCTTTTATTAGTTCGGGTTGACGTCGCACTCACACATTATAGATCATATGGCGACTTTCTAGCTCTGCTGATGGAAGAAGACATCAGGTGCCCTACCGTGCATTATTTTAGGCAGGCACGAATAGATGGACACTTGAGTAGAACCACCGACGTTCTGTGGGCTGGTTGGATTGTTTCATCACATTAAAAACTCCAAATTCCATGTAAGGATTCGAACACACAGCGGTGATCTGATGGTAGACGTATTACTGAGTCTCAAGATTCTGAGTATTTTTAGTTTGGCGTTATTGTCTGAGGCTCCTTGGATACCTTCATAACAGTATCATATGTTAGACTCTTCCCAGTAAGGCAAACATCATTCAAATGATCGTAATCATTATGAACGATTGCCTGTTGAGTAGGCATAGCTTTTGTACTGTCATAAACTGTGTCATCCTTAGCCTCTAAACCTGGCCATTTTTGTTGGTCCTCAATATTTTTAATTGGTGTTTTATTGTTTGAGAGATCAGCAATTGCTTGGCCTTGTGAATGGCATATGGCATGGTCGTACAGCGCAACATGATTTGTTGGGTTTTCTGAAGAGAGATTTCCGTCTGTTGTTGATTCCTGGATACTATCATAATGACTTGCTACTGTCTCCTCATTCTGCTTGTTGTACTGAACATTATTATGTTCGCTAGATCCTATCATACAAGTCGGATTCCTATCATTAACAGAATTTTCTATCAAACGATTTTCACTCTCTACTCTTGTGCTTGTACAGTGACCTGTAGTGGAGTTTGTTTTTGTTTCCGCTCTGCGTCTACAATAAATAATACAATATCAAACTCGTCTCAAGCCTCTTCCATGACTCCAGAAGTATATGTTAGATTTTAAAGACAACAAATGGAAGTTAAAGAATTACTAACAATATCCAAGTATGAGTTTTTGTATGAGTTATAACTATGTTATAAATCCAATACGGGCATAGGAATATTAGAAATAATCTTTTTGAAATACATTTGTATTTTAGCTATAGTTGTTTATAATGTTCTTATTTTCAATAACTGAAAGTATTGCTCTTTCTCAATCAAAGATTAAACGGTACATATATTACATTAGTTCAATTTAATACAATTCTAGTACATATTTTTGCAAATTATGTTTTACTGTAAGGTAGTTTAACAGATGCTTATTATGAAGAAATACAGTAAAGATAAACAAATACAACAAATAGGGAACTGAGTATCACATGCAGTCAAATACAAATTAACTACCGAAGGCGAAGCCTAAAGCGTTGAAGCACATTGATTATAAAGGAAATATTAGGTGGACGATAACTGAAGTCTCAAATGGTTCTTAGATTACAATTGTCTTTCATTGCTCATGATATTTTATTTTTTTAGAGCAAAACTTACAACCGAGTCTGCAATTCTTATGTTATTTTGTTGTGATTAATGCTTCCGAGGGATCACTTTGTTTCCAGATGTTTTTTACATAGTTCATACGTTTAAAATGTTTTATAAAACCACTCATACTCCGTATTTAGGTGATATTTAAAACGGCTTTCATCTTTATTTTTTGTTGGAAAAAACAATTCCGTGATGTTTCAAGCTAAGTATTTCAGTAACTTAATCAGGGTGTCAATGAATTCTCTTTTTGTTTATGTGCTTTAACAACTGCAGATTTCTTTTTCACCTTTATTCTTTTGATTTGACAATTATATGAAACGATTTATCTAACCATAACATATTTGGCCTGGAGAAAAGTTTAAGGCCGCTTTAACGATACTTATATATAACATGACGTAAAGATACCTTTTGAAGTAAATAGCGCTGATGAAAACGATGACTAGGAAACATACGACCCCAAATATTACAGACACTATAAGACCTGAAAAATACAAAAAAAAAAAACAAACATTATCCCGTTCATACCTCTCGTTTACTGACTTGTTTAATGGTAATGCAAACCATTGTTGAATGTTGACATCAATTCTTTGAAAGAAACATCTTAAATCACGTTAATTTTTTTTTTGAATTATTTTTCTTTATTTATTTTATTTATTTATTCTCTTTTTTAATGTCATTTGTTTGTTGGCTTTTTTAACGAAATAACGAAAGCTAAAAGCGTTTAAAGAAAACTAGTTAAATTAAATTACTCAACTACTTTTTTGGCTATTTCCTTCTTTATGTTGTAATTGAGGTTGTATACTACACTTAAGTGAAATTATATATATGTTTATAATTATGCTTATAAAACAATTTTCAAACATCGAAGAATATGTAACATATGTACTGCAAATATTTTTAACATGTTATATGTAATTATTAAAATATATATGCTTTCAGGTAATAATTATTGAAAAATTTGACATAGACTTTATAGAAAATATTTTTTATTACCTCCCATTATTTACATGAAATGTTAAATTCGGTAATATCTTTATAAATAATGCTTTTTGGAACTTACAAAATTGATAAATCTTAATTTGAGCATCATATTTATGATATAAAACCAAAAAAAAATTGTGTTAACATTCTTTTAATAGCGTTATCAATGACTGTTGAAATGTGTTGAAAAGATATTAGAAATGTAGTAAAGATAAATGGTTGTGTTACAATACCTTGTGATGTTGATGCCTGTCTTGCTGATTTCGTACACATAATGTTGAACAATGTCCCATTAACTATAAAACAGCAATAGTTGTCAAACATTTAATATATGGAATATTGTCATACATAAAGGTTAATAGTTTAAGACCAATAACTTCAAGGATGAGATAAAAATATTAGTTTCAGTTTAAATATGTTTATCCTGTAAACGTTTCACAATAATTGTGATTGTCTCGCGTCAATGTGTCAAAAATAGTCCATCAAATTCACTTTTGTCATTGATCTTTAGTTTGAAGAACACAAATATATAAACAAGTTACAAAAACTTCCCATAATTCTTGTTGAAAAACATTTTCTTTATATATTACATTAATTTTAGATAAACATATTTCCGAAAAATAAGATCCATGACATTTAAAAAACAAAAGCATTTAATAGTAGCAGTCATTCAATTGGTTTTGTATTATAATGCAATAAAACGTCAATAAAAACAAAATCTTATTAAGACGATTTTTTTAGAGTATTATTCTGAACTTCTAAAACAGTATGAAGTTTCACCAAAAGGTACATTTCTTAAAAAAAAAAGTTTTACATACATACCAGTGTAAACGCCAAGACAAACACCACCTCCGTTAAAACTTGAATCAGTAGATAATAATAGCTCTGTATCCCCAGATATTCGGTGTTTAGGGAAAACTTTTTCTGTTACAGAAATATTTGCTATTTGAAATTTTATATTCGTTTCTCCAGTGTGATTTGTTATCCGCACAACTAATGTAATAATTTGTCTAGCAGGTGATATAACGCATTTGCACGATGTTTGTTGAAGCACGGGTACATTTCTGGTGTCAATAAGGATATAATGGGTTTCACTCACTGTGTAGTCAGTGCAGATATTTACGACTGTAATGAACACATTTTTTTGTATATATATTTCAAACCTTTTTATTATATTGAGATATGTTGTCAAAATGATGTTTAAATATGTTGTCAAAATGATGTTCATTACCGGAGAAGAAATCATCATTTACGGAAAATCACACGAGCACGCGTCTTTAAATATGCGTGACTCAGGGCGCCAAGTAAAACCAACTCACCTACAACAATGACAGCCCCGGTAGACATATCAAATGGTATCGCACTAGCACGTGAAAAACATGAAAAAAAAAAAACGATTTAATCATAAGAGCCAGAAATAACGAAACTCGGAAATACCAAATCAGTTACATGTATATACATGTACATCTATGCAAGACCGGAGCTAATGCACATTTTTGTGCAGATTTGCAGAAGACATTGTACTGATAAAAGCCCTCGCGCTTAAAATGTTTCTTCGTGTTTCTGAAGATGTTAATGTACGAAAAACCTATATTTTAAGAGAAATGAAATGATCACGTTACATACTGGGTTGCTTGCTTTGTCCGCAGAATGATTCCGTGTGAGTTACTGAAAGATAATTATCTTGATAATTACTTCATAGCTACATGAAAAGATGTCAGAACCGTAAGTATCGTAAAATTGTTTATATGAAGTTTAAACTTTCAGAACAATAATCATGCAGATTCTAAATAGAGTCTGCTTTACATTAGCACCAAATTGGGTCGAACCGGTCGCTTAATCAAGCATTGTTTGGGTGTGTCTTTTATGGTCAACTATTTTCTCATGTTTAAAGCATATCTTCATTTGAAAGGCAATGTGATCGGTGATTATTCAGTCTTCATATGTTCCTAGTTCAACCCTTTTTTTAAAAAATATAGTCTGAATAAAGTGTGATCCCTAGGAATCATAAATCACAACAAAAATACATGGACATTGCAAACTTGGTTTCATTGAGTCTGTACATGGTGAATAAAGAAAAAGTGTAGCCCCATAGCTAGCACCGGTTTTAGGGGTACTCAATTTTCAACCCTTAAAATGTTGGAACAACATAGAAGTGAAGTAAAATGCAACATCTTACAGCTGCAACACAGCACTTGACACCTGTTGTTGTGAAGTTTAAAAATCTGGATAAAGTGTGACCCCTCGGAAACGTTAATCACAACAAAATTACAACAACGAGAAAGAGAGAACACAACTCATTTAAAAAAGTACATGACATTTGCTTGATCACATTAAAAACGAAATGGACACATATTCATCCGCCATTTAATTAGCATACTTTCCTAAATTATCATAAATTACCACACATATTTTAAAATTCTTTTGATATTTAGATACACGTATAATATTCAAACTTACTCCTTGAAAACCAAAGAAGACAAACAGCACACAGTAATATACGACAATTTCCCATTTTCTATAAAATCCCGTCTATTTGTTTCTTTTGTGAAATGTACAATTACTAATGAGGAAAGTCATTGTTTGAACTACTTCAAACAAGACATTCGGTCTAAATAACATTTCCTTTACACTTTATCTAAATCACTTGATATTTAACTGTTTCAGGAAGTTTAATATAGTTTGAAATCGTGATGTGATACGTTTTTTAAACATATTTTACATTAACAATTTAAAGTAGATTTCCTTCCAGATTCATGCTTTTCCTATATGTGAGTATAGACAGTGTTTAAATAGTAAATTTAGGCATTTACAGAGCACATGACCCAGCTAATGTGTAAAAATATATAATAAATGTAAATAAATTCTCATGATTTTGTCAATGTAATTGTAATAGTGTTGTCAATGTATATTTAATGGTTTTGTCATTGTAAATATTATGGTTTTGTCAATGTAACGGTACTGCGTTTTTCAATGTAAATGTAATGTTTTGTCAATGCAATGATAATGGTTTGTCACTGTAATTGTAATGGTTTTGTCAAAGAAATTGAAATGGTTTTGTAAAAAAGAAATTGTAATGGTTTTGTGAATGTTATTGTAATGTTTTTGTCATTGCTTAATACGGTGACACAAAGGTGACATGTGTCTCGTCGCCACGATAAACTATGTCGCTACCAGATAACTAAGTCGTGGCAACGAGTAACTAAGTCGTGGCCACGAGATAGCTAAGTCGTGGCCACGAGATACTATGTCGTGGCCACGAGTTACTAAGTCGTGGCCACGAGATAGCTAAGTCGTGGCCACGAGATACTATGTCGTAGCCACGAGTTACTAAGTCGCGGCCACGAGATACTATGTCGTGGCCACGAGATACTATGTCGTGGCCACGAGTTACTAAGTCGTGGTCACGAGATAACTAAGTCGTGGCCACAAGATACTATGTCGTGGCCACGAGTTACTAAGTCGTGGCCACGAGACAATCAGATAACACTATTATATGATTTTCCATAATTAACTAGACATGTGCTATAGTACAAGGATGCCCCTACTTCACAAGCCTGCAAAAGTGCCATTTATACAACTTATTGACTGGTCAATAAGTTTACATTTAGCGTCACTGTGACCCTGATTTTTGACCCAATGGCCCCATAATTATTAGATGTCATCTACTGATCAGGTGCAATGATCTTTCTGGGTAATATAAACCATGGCTTATCCTTTCTCAGTTATTCATCAGGCAAGGATTTTACCTTATAGGCTATCTACTGTCAATGGGCAATGTCCCTTCCAAATTAAATAAACCAGGACTAAGTCCTTCTCATGTTATTGTATAAACAAGGTTAACAGGTCGTATTACGTACAAACTGATCAATTCGATCACAAAATTGACCAAACAAAGGGCTACAGTCAAAATTAATGTCTGTTGGGCCTTGGAAGGTGACTTTCTAATATGACCCTAAAGACAAGTTCAAAGTGAATATCTTCAGTATTTTCAAAGATTAATGTTGCATGTAACAGTAAGTTGTTAAGTTTAACAAATTCATAATAATATTATTATATATAGTGTATTTTGATTGGTTATTTATCTCGTGGTCACGACTTAGTAACTCGTGGCCACGACATAGTATGTCGTGGCCACGAGATAAATAAAAACCCACACATGTCACCTTTGTGCCACCGTAGCTTAATGAAGTTCTCGTAATATAGCTAAAATAATAAATGAATGATATATTTTTTTCATTTGTTCAAACATAAGTAATAGAAAGAGCATCGAATCACGAGGCTATCTGATTTGTACGAGGGGCGTAGCCCCCGAGTATTAATCAGATTGCCGAGTGTTTTGATGTTCTTTCTCTTTTGTATCATAGTCAAACATAAAAACACGTTCCCTGTTATCACAAAATAAAACCCCAGCAAAAAGGAACCAATGAACAAACATCTGAACATGATATGTCTGTCGCTTTCCCTTTCTCAACCGTCACAATATGTAAACCCCAGCAAAAATGAGCCAATCGATGGGCATACTCTGGAGTGCGGGTAACTAATACCTGCACTCCAGTTAACGCACTGTGCATGTATATGTATACTATTTAACTTTGACACATTTTCAACAGAAAGGTCCCCAAACTATGATACATTATATTTAGAGCGGTTTCATTCTTTAAGTAAGTTTGTACTCGTATATGCTAAAAACACAGTCTTCAGATTCATTAATTAGTTTTTGCATTTTTTATACATGTCAAAATTGGAAATCTGGAACATTTATACACCATGATTAGTCACGTCACACTCTTTGTTTTCAAGTCATTCAGTTTTTTGTTCAACCTTATCATATAGACCAAAATCACACAGTTTATTTGAACAAATAGGACTCAAATGATCATAATCATTGTGTCCGGTTGCCTTTTGAGGTGATGTTACGTTTGTACAGTCATATACCGTCTGGTCTTCCGCATTTAAACTTGACAAGTCACGCTCGCCTTCAATATCGTTATTTGTGGTTTTGTTGCTTGCAGCTCCCATTTTCACGCCAGTCGGAGGGTGCCCTAAATAATCGTAGGATACAGGATGTTTAGGTAAGTGTTCTGAGCGGTGGTGTTCGTCGGCTGTTTCCTTAATACTTTCATAATGGCCTGAAACTATTGCCGCACTGTGTTCGTTTTCCATAACAGTACCAACCATAAAATTTTGACCATTATTGCACCTTTGACTGTCTGTCATGTAATTGTCACCTTCTGTTCTTGTGTTTACAGATGGTTTTGTTTCTTGCTTGATTACTCTTTCGGCTTGTCTTCTGCAATAGATGCAAATAGATGCATCTATGAAATATGTCATTTAGATAAAAAGAACATACTATACATTTAATAACAAATAACTATTTGCTATTGTATATGGAAAACAATAAATCATTTCGGATATAGAAATTGTTAATTTGTAATATATGTGATTTGTTTTGTGTTTCAGCCATTTTTTTTAATGATATGAGAGATTTTTGTTTATTTTTAAGTAAACAGAATCAAAATACTTCACATCAGAACAGTAACCACAAATGCATTCTATATAATAAAGATATACTATAAATTCCTACTGGTTATTTGTTTTTTATATAAACACTTATAGGTTCATGTTTCCAGTTTATAAGAATAAGAATATAATTTTATCTAATTAAATGATTATTAGATATAAGTAATCATAAATTGTTCTTTGTTTTGAACACAGTTAATGAACATCAATCCTGAAACGTCGAACATCGAAATTAAAACACAAAAGAATATAGGACAAGTATAAAAATGTCAAAAAAGAGATTTTATTCTGATTAAGATTCATATTTACGGGAACAGTTAAAATATCCTAAAAGCTAAAAAGTTTCTTAACATTTACTATGTTACTACTGACAAAATCGAAAGCGGGAACCTATCACCCACTCATGTGCTACATGTTAATCCGGATGATATAAATTAAAAATCTGGTACATTGGTGCATGACGAAGTCATACCTTCTATAACAAATAGCGAAGATGACAGCAATTGCTAAACAACATACGAGTGTCAAAGTTGCTAATGCTGCAGGAACTGAAAATATAAGATTATAAATATATGATTTTGAATAAAATGTAATACAATCTCCCAGCATGAATATGGGTAATGGTATTACAGTAAAATGCTTCTTTTTCTTGTAAGATACATGAATTATTAATTATATTGATAACATAGTAAAAAGGCATGTTTAACCACATTATTTTGAGGGCTTATTAGAATAGAGGAAAACGGAATCCCTAAAGAAGCCATAAACAGAATGCTGACTAGATTGCTTTACAAAATAAATTGCATTTATGTAACGTATACAAATTATTCCAATTACTCATGAATTTTAGAAAATATATGTTTAATCATTTTCATCCGCGTACCATCGTCTAAAGCAACTAGCTAAAATGCAAAGACGAGTATGTTTTATTTGGCACACTTGTAATTCATCATAATTGTCAAGTGCATTTACGAGAAAAAACATAGACAAACTTTGATAAATCTGTTCTTATTTATCACCATTAGAACATGTGTATAATATTAAGTCATTAACAGTTTTAAGCTTGTCTAGTAAGTCAACTGCTTCAACTTACCCGTACTTGTGTTTTCATTTCCTTCACTTTCTTTGTCTGGGTTTGAGTTGATAATTGATCTAACACAAGAAATATTGAACTTAGTTTGATCATCTACAGAAACGAGAAAACAGCAAATTATTGAAAATACGATTATTTTTATCAAAAATTAATTCCTGAATTATGGTATTTTTAAGAATTGGTTAATCTTCAAAAGCAGATAAAATAAGCATAACATCATTTTAAAGGTGATTCCTATTGTATTTAACATTTCAAACCCTAAATAGTTATCTAAGATATACAATGTACATGAACAAAGCAAACGAAACTGTAAAAGCATTATAATAAAGTAACACTGTTAATTTTATACTTATGTATCACGAATACTTACTTGAAAAAACACCGAGACACGCCCCATCTCGCTCGTGATTTTCATGAGTGGAAAATGAAATTTTTGTACCACTTTTAATCGTTGTATCATAATTGTATTTAATTTTGTTTATGACAGTTTCTTTTATTTCAAATTCCATGTTGAACACTTGAGTAAAATTTTCTAACATCAAAGTCATTCCAAGTTCATGTTTATTTGTTAAAATAACACATTCACATGACGTTTGTTGAAAATCTGGAACACTTGCTGTATCAATAAGGATGTAGTTTGATTGCCCCACTAAGTCGTCTGTGCAGATATTTACAACTGTAAGAAAATGATCGTAGATTGTTTCATCTGTCTTATTCAAGTTACAAATTTAAACCAAAAAGAGAAAATGTTTAATTTTATAAGTTATATCAAATTGTGCCTTTAAAGCAAGAACTTCAAGTAAACAGTTTCTTTTATCAAATATAAATTTGTATTGTCTTCATTATCAGGTTAATTAGAGATAATGCATATTTTTGGTATTTTTACATATCTTTATTTTTAGGTATAGGTATTTTTTTCAAAATAACTTAGAAGAAAGACCTGAATATCGGTCGAACATTGTGTCTCCTTTTTTGACACGTGTACGCGGTATAGTCAGGAAGTTCCAAACTGAGGCAATAGTTCCACTATAACGGCGCGAAATTTGATCATATGACAATAAGATGAAATGTAAATGCTGTAAACAATTGAATAAAACAAATATAAATTCACGAGGCTAATTATTGCGCATACATCGTCGGGTAAACGGGGCACATTGGAACGTCATTTAGCGTCGTCGATTAGATGATGTTACGCTTACTGTAAATATTTGTCACTTTCTACTAATGATGATTTTGTAGCCTTTGCTTTCTGAGGTGATCGAGACGACTTGTGTTATCAATCCATAAACAATGACGACTTGCCTTTGCCTTAGGGGCCATTATATTGATCACAGTTTGTGTGTGTGTGTGTGTGTGTGTGCGTGTGTGCGTGCGTGCGTGAATGCGTGATAAAGCCCGCTAGAACTATCTCGCCGACCTTCTCCTATAGCCTCATGAATTCCAATTTTGTTCTTTTCAATAAAAGTTTCACTTGTCAACACCAGAGAAACGTACTTGGGTAAAACTTTGTATATTTTATAATATTATGACTCTGTGACTGAAACCAAGAATGTCAGCCATATCCTCTACTTGTCGTCGATCTCTTAAATCACGTCGTTTTACAGCAAGCCCAAAATCAATTAACTTAACATTAACTTAACATTGTTCAAAGTGCCCCGTGCGCGTTTTTAAGTGTAAAACGCTGTACCTTAAGAAATGTTTTATAAAACTTTGGATAAAGTTAAAAAGTTTGATAAAGAAAATATTAAACTGAAATAGGCTATTTTCAAAGTATCCCATATCTCTGGTTCTCGATGTTACAAAGGTGAATATCTTAACGGATAGGGAACGCTCGGTTGAGCATAAATGCAGAAGACCATGTAAAGTATCGTCGACCCTGTAAAGGAACTTTTTGTCTATGCCTCCCAGCTTTTCTCATTTTTAAATATTCATTATGAATAGAAATATATGTTTTCATGATTCTTTTCAATCATATGAAAAAATATAGCCATTCTTAATTTCTATTTTTAAACTTCCTGTGTGTGCATAGTACATAACCAATAAAGAAACCTGACTTCGTAACATTTATAATCTAAAATTTCGGCAAGAACATTTTATTGAATCTTTAAAATATTAAGACTTCCGAGATTCCCCCATAACAACGGCAAAACCATTTTATCAAAAGTGCGAAAATTAATTTATGGATTCTAATCATCAGAAATAAAGATTTACCCTCACATATTGAAGACAGAATAGATTAAAAATCGATTTAGTTATAATTTTGAATCATGAAATCAGTTACTGGGTCAAACTTTGGCAGCTCCATATAATTTGAGAAGTCCTCCACTGGTAAGTTATATGTCGAATATCTAAACGTAGGCTACATACATGTACATAGTTTCATTTTCTCAATAAATCTATGCAAATTAACATACACCAGGACTTGTGGGAATATATGAAAACCACGCCACAACCATTTCAATGCATCAATATTCTGCCATTTTATTAAATCAATGTTCAAAAGATCAAAAGTCGAGACAGATTAGGTCAACAATAATACAAATCTGATTTGAACAATTGATATTAAAATCAATGACTAATTAAAGGAACATTTTTAATTTCTTTTACATTATAAACTATTGAAACCGTTCACAAATTAGATAAGCATTTGAATTCCTTTTACAGGAAATGTAGTTTACTTCCTACTGATTTTGTATTAAATTAAATGATAAAGACTGTCTGCATTCTATGCTCGCTGAGGTGAAAATTAGCTAGCATTCACTTAACTATACGTACTAGGATGTGTTCTGCGTCCACAAAATGATCTACACTGAGTGCCTGAAAAAAATTAATTGCCTTATTATATCAAACATATAGAACAGAATCAAGATTTTAGAGGACCTAATAGTGGAGTGTTTGAGAATCAACATAATCACATTCATCCTCAGGAACGTAAAATATTCTGCAATTAAACTGTATCATTACACATAGCGTCAAGCTATTGCCGTATAAGACTTTGATTGAAAATATGTATAACATATGTATATGAGCCGCGTCACGACATAACCAACATAGTGGGTTTGCGACCAGCATGGATCCAGACCAGTCTGATCAGGATCCATGCTGTTCGCTTACCAACTCTATTACAAGTAGAGAAACTGATAGCGAACAGCATGGATCCTTATAAGACTGCGCGGATACGCAGGCTGGTATTGATCCATGCTGGTAGCAAACGCACTATGTTGGTTTTGTCGTGACGCGGCTTATATATTTGTGCATAATATCATACAATTTAAGATAAACTAGTACTATGCCAATATGTGAATAAAATTATTTCATGACAAAATTAATGAAATATAGAAAATTCATGAATATATCTTATTTGAACAAAAGAATGCAGGGATACAGCAGTCCTCAAGCTAAGGTGGTACTTACTGCTAAGGTGGTACTTACTGAAAAAAAAATGTAATGAACTACCGGTATCTATTGATATTGTGTATATTACTTATAGTTTTTAGAGTTCTAAACGTGATATGTCTACTCTTTGTGAATTTAACACATGTTGGTTTTACAATTACAGAATTAGAAAATATGTAGCAATTATCGATATTTTGAAATATATCAAAATTGAGCTTAATATATCTTTAAGATGACTTATTTAAAATTGAATTACGAAAGGTATATGCTTAAACTAATTTCTCTTTTAACTGGAACATTCCAAGCTATAAAAAAACAACTTTTTATATTTATTATGAAAATAATTTGAATTAAACATACATGGAATATAATGGGACAAAAAGTCATTTTACATATTTAAAGTATTCTGTTCAAGATACAATAGATATGTAGATACCTCTAATAAACCATAGTAGGCACATAAAACAGTAAATTCCCATTCCGATGTTTATCCAATTAAATGAAGTAAAATATAAAATGATTATTATTATATATGTATAAATCCGATTGTTATAAAAGGAAATATTGTCCTTAAACAGTTCACGTTACCCTCAAATTGTTAATAATAAAAGGAAATAAAATTAATTGTTCTTAGTAACATTGTTTCATTGTAAACTAAACCGGAAAATCTATCAATCGATTGAGGATCGGTTGTAAAGTATATATGATATTATCATTAAACCTATTTGAGAACATAATTTACTGTATACGAAGGTTAATTGAGTTAACAGAGAAGTTATTTAATTTAGTGAAACATGTGTTAGAAAACGAAAAAAAAAGAACATTACAAGATACTGACATTGAGCACATACATTGAATAATAAAGTTTACATTTGACTTTGAACAACAGTGCTATGTCGTACTTTAAGCATGCTGATATCAAAACTGGTTTTGGCTGACTTTACCTCAATACCAACGTCTAGTGTCCGATCGATTTCTCGACATAATCACGACTTCTGATCGACTTATTTCATGTACACGTATGATCGACTAATTTCATATACATGTTTGATCGACTAATTTCATATATTTGTATGATAGACTAATTCCATTTACATGTATAATTATGTACCTATATTTAGCTCGTCTGTAACAAAACGCTGCACTGTGTTATGCAAGGGAGTTGGTTGTTTTACAATACCAGCTGTCATTTTGTAACAATTCGTTATATAACGCTGTGTTTGCAACACTAACATGCAATGTCCTGCTACCTTAACTTTTGTCATCAAACACTGTAATGGTACCATCCTTTTAACGTCTTGTCATAGAATGTAATTTATGCTTCGTTTTGTCTATAACCAGGATAAGCATAGAATTATTTGTAAAATTGGTTACTTACATCTTGATACGATACTAGATTTTCACTCCCCTACCGGTCGTCCGTCCACAAAAATGGATCCCGCGATAATGCAAAAAAAAACTGAAAATATTTTTATGAAACTTGATATATGGATAGATGGCAGTATGGAGATTATGCACGTCGTTTTCTTGTCTTCCTATGTTGAAAATTCTGGTTGTTATGGCAACAAATAGACTGAAAATATGGCAAATTTTACACATAACCTGGATCCAGTGATAAAGCAAAAAGTACTGAAAATATTTTTATGAAACTTGAAATATGGATAGATGGTAGTATGCAAATTAAGCACACCTTTTTCTTTTCTTCCTATGTTGAAAATTCTGGTTGCTATGGCAACAAATAGATTGAAAATATTGCAAATTTTACACATAACCTTGATCAATTGATAACGCAAAAAGTACTGAAAATATTTTTATGAAACTTAAAATATGGGTAGATGGCAGTCAAGAGATTATGTACATCCTTTTCTTTTCTTCCTATGTTGAAAATTCTGGTTGCTATGGCAACAAATAGACTGAATTTCAAGATTTCTGATTCTAGTTTTTACGTTTTTTTGCTATTAGTTCTTTATTTCTAAAGGTATTTTCTTCAAACTTCAAATTTAAGTTTCCAGTCATCAACCAGACCATATGTGACAAGGTTTACAACTGTAGCGCAAGATTTATCAGAATTTTCTCCCTTGAACTTAGAATTTTCATGAAAAAAAATATTTTTTTCAAATAATTTCTTTTTTTCTTAATGTATCTTCTTCAAACTTCATATATATGTTTCTTATTATCACTCAACATTTGTGAGAAAGTTCAATACTCTAGCAAGACTATTTTAGGAATTATGCCGCTTTTGAACTTAAGACTTTTTTCGAGAAATTGGTAATTTTTACTCCAACTTCTTAAATCATTATAGGATTTTCTTCAAACTCCCACATCATAATAATAATGACAAGGTTTATAAATCTAGCATCCGTATTTCCAGAATTATTTCCAATTTAAACTTTGAATTTTTCTTATTCATTCTTTTAACTTTCTTTTACTAGAAATTCAAAATAGACATTCATTATCAACACCTTCATTACTAATTGTTCTTTGTAACAACACTCGCATTATGTGTGACGTCTTGCATCATTATTTCAAGAGTTATCTTCTTTTAAAGAATTTTGCTTTTAAAAATGTTATCTTTTGATAACAGTGATGTTTAAAAAAATATTATCCGAGTGTCCTTCAAGCTGTACATAAAACTGTTTCCTGTGATCACTTTTAATGAACTTTTTCAACAAATTTACTTAAAATAGAAACACAAGTGAATGGCCAATGACCCTTCAGAATGTTGCTGGGGTTCTTACCGGTAGGGGACTTATGGATTGCTTGCAATACTATGATAATTGCTTGTTATTAAACTGTTGTGCAATATATCAAAACATGATACACTTTTACATTGGGCTGTTACAAAAATTTAATAAATAAATATGTTATGCCAAAATGACTTGTACAAGTGGTTGAAGATATTTTATCAAATGAAAAATATGTACAATGTGTATGGTTATCAACTTTAATGCTGGATTGTATAGATATATTGAAATGTGTTATAACGTTCAAGCCAATACCCCGGCAAAAAAGTAACAAAGTGCCCGTTGGCTAAGTCAACAGGTAATCTAATGATTGTCGAGTGGATTCAAACCATTGAGGTGCAGGCGGTTGTTTCTTTGAGCAAAAAAATCTTAACACCCATTGTTTAGTACCGATTGCTTCAATAGCGGATCAGTAAGTTGATAAGCTTAAAGTTTTGTTTACAATCGAATTACATTTTTTTTGTAAATTATATTTCATAAAAAAATAAACAGGAAACGGAAGAACACAACAATTCCGAGGTAGGATGGACAATATATATCATAAAATTCTGTATAAACTTATATCAAGTTTTATTATTTTCCGTTGTTGTTGTTTTTTTTCAAATGCTTATCCATTCAATACTAAGACATGTAGCTAGACATAATCTATATCAATATTTTTCCATTATCTACTATAGTAGGTAAATATGTAACATGTTCTAGACCAGTTATCTCCGAATAAGGAGTAAATCCAATCCGATCTGGAAGTGAAAATTGTTGTGTATGATTTATGACATGTTGTTATAGGATTCCTGAAATTTCAATTACCGGAGTGGTAAACAATCAATATCAATGCAAATTGACACATATATTTGTATAATATAGAAGGTGAATAATAAAATTATAAAAGACATTCACACCGTTATTATCAGTGACTAGATAGAAAATATACGTGTGTACTTTGTGAATGTGGCAGAAAATTAAAACAACGATGATGGTATATGATAAAAAACTTAATTTTCCATTCTTATTATTTGTATGACTAAATATACAACTCGAAACATATTTTGCCAAATCTACATTACTTGCTATCAATGCATAAAATGTATCTAACTCAACTTTTCTGCTCAAGGTCTTGTTTTTCCTAAACGTTTTCTCATGTGCATTCTGAAAGCTTAAAAGGAAAGTCCCTGATAATGAATCTTTGGTTCAAGGGACATCGATAAAAAACTAAACGAAACTATTGTCTATTGGATATATGACTTTAAAGATAGGTGTCTGAGGTGCTGTTGACATTTCTTGTATTTATCTGTTAATTTGCACATACATCTTTATCTCATTACTTTCAGGTAAATAATAATTTTACTTAATCATAATATCTTCAGTGATGTCTTGAAAACCTGTTGACTTTACAATGATATCTAGTTTTGAGCCGTATTGACTACAAAAAAAATCATTTTATGGTTATGAAGAGGTGATTTATATACATGATTGATACGAAATTTCAGATCGCTGACATCATGCTTTTACATACAAATGATATATGTTATGTTATTTTTTCACTATATTCCCTATCATATGCCGTTGATACCTGTTGTTGTGACTGAAAATGATAATATAATACCTTCAATGATTTAGGGTAGCAATAGAACTTCACCCGTGATGGCCATCTCGGCTTACGTACTGGATGAGGTCACTCTACTTTGAGATATGATGTTTATCTAATATTAACTGTTTTTCAGGTATGAACAGAATAATCAATATTGACAAGAAAAGATGATTATCCATATTCCTAAAAAACACAATGTTTAATGTCTACCTAAGCCAGTATTTCCAATTCTGTCATATGTCAAATTCAGTCCATTCAAACCAACAGAGCCCAAATGATGATAATCATTATCTCCGACTGTCTGCTGAGAAAAAGTTGACACTGTACTGTCATATACTGTGTCATCGTCTCCATTAATTCCTGAAAATTTTGGTTGCACTTCGTTATCAATAATCGACCGTTTATTGTTTGAGACAACATCACTTCCTTTGCCTACTTTTAGACACGTTGAATACTCGTTTGACACAGCATGGCTTGGTGAGTTTTTAGAAGATTGGTTTCTGCCAGTTGTGTCTTGAATACAATCATAATGGCTTGGGGATGCTCCGTGATAATTGTAAACATCGTTGTGTTCGTTTTCATTGATTGTTTCTCGCGTGCATATCTGGCCCATATTGTACATCGCATTTTCAGTCATATAATAGTCACTCTCTACAGGTGCGTTTGTGGAGCTTACTGTAGTGGCATTTCTTCGCTTTCCTTTCTTTCTCCTACAAAAAACAGAATATATGTTCACAAATCAATAAAATTAGCTTATTGATAAAATAGTTTTGCATTATTATAAAGTACGAGTATATTTACGTTATTCATTATTATTCATTAGTTATGTACACAAAACTGCATTCACGCCATTATGACAGTTTAGTTTTATTAAAAAAGATAACATATAAATTTTAACGTTTCAACCATATGCCAATGTTAAACTTATCATAAAATATTTAAGAATTCAACACATTTTTGTAAGTGTACGAGTGTAAGTTAACTTTACCTTATGTAGAAGATAACGCATACAACAGCAATAACAATTGAACATAGAAGTCCGCAAGCTGCTATCACTGAAGGAACTGGAAGTTTAAACAGATAAAGGTAATTTTATTCAAACTAAAAATATGTGTTTTGAACAAAATTCAAATATTGCAGGAATGATAGTGTAAATGCTCATAGTTTAATCTATTTGAATTGCAAAAAAAGGCTTTTTGTGTGTCACAATATTTAAATAAAGTGCACTCCAGAAACAACAAGACTGTCCTCCTCGTTCTAACCGGGTCATTACAAATTGTGAAATCCGACACTATCGAGCATCATTTATTTCTACTTTCGCTTTCGAGAACATCCTTTTTAAAAAAATATAAAATGCGAGATATCTCTTTGCACTCAGCAGTATTTGTTTTATTTAAACATACATGTATATAAATATATCAAGTTATCATAGAATTTTAACAAAACATATGAAAACACATAATGCTACGTTCAACAACCTGGATTTTTATTAATAAGTACATTTTAAAGTTCGTTTTCAAAAGTCACTCACGAACAGCGAATAACACTACAAGAAATATGTCGCTTCCTTTGTGCCAATCACTCAATAGAATTGTTTTGTTATGACATTTTGTAACCTAAAGGACGATTTAGCCCGTAGGGCTGACAAACAAGGCGCTAATTGTTCAGAAATTTCAATTTCTTCCTTAATTGTCTTTTGTTTTAAGTCACCATTTTTTTCTCAAGATGACAAACTGATGCCGACGAAGTGCCAATGAAGTGTCCTCGTTTAAATTCTAAACAATACGCATGGGACATCAAATATATTGACGTTGTAACCGATATCTCGCTAAAACCGATCTCGTTATAAACGATATAACAAGAAAGTAGATAGAAGGAAAAAGGCCGGGACACAGTAGAATGTATTCTATAAGCAGTATCTCGTCAAAACTGATCTCGTTGTAAGTAGAGTTGACTGTAATAAGTAGAAAAATGTTTACTTCTAGATTAACTTCAAAAGTAATGTTTTAAACAAACTGATAATAGGGTTGACGTTCACGTTATCCGTTGAAGGTTGCATCGTAGAATAAAGATGTTTTAAAGTTGTACTCTCGGTTGTTTGGCTTCCACGTGATATAGATGCTGAGCTTGCTTGTCTTGTTGTTTCTTCTGTTATTTTCGTACATGAAATGTTTGAAAAGAATTCTCAAAGGAGTGACTTTTAAAATAGAGATTGGACAATGAATGATATTCAAAAATGTTTTTTTTTTATAAAACAAAAAACTATGTTAGTTATATTAAAGTCTGCCTCATTTATATGATGGCTATCTCGATTGACGCATCGGCTTAAGACACTTGACTATGGGATATGATACTCATGTAATGTCAATATTTTTGTTATTGTTTAGGTATGTACAGAATGATCAAAATTGACAAGAAATTATTCTGTTATTACCTACTTTCCGCATTTTGATTCATGATTTTGATGTTTAATTAAACAAGTATTTCTAATTTTATCATCTGTCAGATTCAGTCCAGTTAAACCAACAGAACCCAAGAGACGATAATCATTACATTTGATTGACTGCTAAAGAAGGGTATGTTTTGCACAGTTAGTGACTAGGACAAAAATGACTCTTAAATTTACTCGTAAGTATTTTTAAACAAACTTTTAATATGGTTGTCTCCATCCACTTTATCAGTTAAAGCTTGCATCGTAGAATGAGTAGGTTTTAAAGTTGTACGCTCGGTTGTTTCATTTCCATTTGATATGGATGCTGGAGTGGATTGTATTGTTTCTTTCATTGCTTCCGTAACTGAAATGTTGAAAAAAGTTCTATCCCCCGCAAAAAATGTAATTTTACAATATTTAGTGTCCAGATTCATGCTAAAAGATAGTGTCTCCATAAGATTCTTTATTACACATCTATTGTTATATGATATAGTGCTTTGTGAACTAAACAAAATTAGTTTAGGTATAATGGAAAAGTGCAACATCTCTCACGACCCCTGATACCGGCTTAAGTGGTATTCCATCTTCACCCCTTAATGTTATGAATCAAACCATCAAATATATGTTAAGTACATTCAAAATAATTAGTTTAATTTATTAGTTTTTATTTTAAATTGCTATTAAATAATAAAATATTTACTTCTTACATATCAATGAATTGACAACTCATGAAATATGTTTATATGAAATAGAAGATTAGTTAAGGTTATTGTTATCTTGTAATTCATAAACATATATCATTTTAGAACAAAATAAATATCGATTTATTTGAAAAATATAAATAATAAAATGTGTTTCATTTGTAAATTATACAAAATATTAAAAGTATTCCATTTCTATAAATCATGTAAAGTTCAGCGGAATAAGTAATATATTTCAAAACCGTGACTGTAATAATAGCGATTGAACAATGATTGATATTGAAAAATGTTCAGGATAATATACAAAAACTACCTTAGCCTATTTTTTGTAAATTAAACGCTACCGATATATCCCGAGCGATAAGTATAGAAAATTTCCGAGAGCCGCGTTTATTTTTTATTATTTTTTCCTATTAAAATATAAAATTAAACATTTCAAGTTATTTTGAGACTTACCTACATTTGTATACACTCCCCATTTACACTTGAGTTGGATGGGTAAAATGTCAATTAAAATACTTACTTAACATGTTTGTCAAAAAAAAAAAATTAAAAACTGGATAGGAAAAAAATTGACGCTTAAGACCTTTCGAATGTCTTTGTGAATTGCTGACATATCATTTAGATATTTTATTTAGACTTTTAATACATATCCTCGGAGACAATATGTAAAATGTTAAAATAAAGACAATCACAAACAGTTTTTATCTTGTCAAATAAGTCTGTTTTAACTTACTCGGACTTGTGTTTTCATTTCCCTCGCTTTCTTTTCCTTGGTTTGAGTTTAGAGTTGATTTATTACAAGCAATACTGAACTTTGATTGATCCTCTAAAGAAACGAGAAAACAGCAAATTATTGAAAATACGATTATCATTATCAAAATTTAATTCCTGAAATATGGAATTTTATAATCTTCGAAATAAATAAAATATGCATAACATAATTTTAAAGCTGAATCCTATTGTATTTTTCATTTCAAACACTAAATAATCATGAAAGATATACAATGCACATTAACAAAGCCAACAAAACTGTAAAACATTATAATAAAGTAACACTGTTAATTTTATACTTATGTGTGACGAATACTTACTTGAAAAAACACCGAGACACGCACCATCTCGTTTGTGATTTTTATCAGTTGAAAATGAAATTGTTGTACCATTTTTAATCCTTGTAGGATAATAATGTTTGATATTGTTTATGACAGTTTCGTTTATTTCAAATTCCATGTTGAACACTTGAGTGGAATTTTCTAACAACAAAGTGATTTCAAGTTCTTGTTTATTTGTTAAAATAACACATTCACATGGCGTTTGTTGGAAATCTTGAACACTTGCTGTATCAATAAGGATGTAGTTTGATTGCTCTACTAAGTGATCTGTGCAGATATTTACAACTGTAAGAAAATGATCGTAGATTGTTTCATCTGTCTTATTCAAGTTACAAATTTAAACCAAAAAGAGAAAATGTTTCATTTTATAGGATAAGCAAACAAATTAAAGTTATCAAAGTGTGTATGACAGGAGCTCAAATGAACACAGTTTGTTTTATCAAAATAATTGTATTGTCTGTATTATAAGGTAAATTAGAGATAATGCATATGTTTGGTAAATTTTACACAGCTTGTTTTGTAGGTAAAGGGACATTTTTTTCACAAAATAACTTAGATAGACATGAAAATCGGTTGAGCATAAGTATTTCCTTTTTTGACACTAATACGCGGTATAGTCAGAAAGTTCCCGGACTGAAGCGATTATCCATTATAACGGCGCGAAACTTGAGAAAAAGATATCGGTATACGACAGGAAAGATGTAATGTTAAATCGTTTAATGTTGTAAACATTTGAATAAATGAACAAAATATAAATACACGAGGTTTATTATTGCGCATACATTATCGAGTACACGGGGCACATTGGAACGTCATCTGGCGTCGTCGATTAAATGACGTTACACTTACTGCAAATATTTGTCACTTTCTACTATACTAGGATGATTTTGTAGCCCTTGCTTTCTAAGGTGATCGAGACTATACTAGGATGATTTTGTAGCCCTTGCTTTCTAAGGTGATCGAGACGACTTGTGTATCCAAACCATGAACAATGACGGCTTGCCTTTGCCTTAGGGGCCATTAAATTAAACACAGTTTGTGTGTGTATGTGTGTGTGTGTCTGTGTGTGTGTGCGTGCGTGCGTGCGTGCGTACGTACGTGTGTTGGTGCGTGTGTGTGTGTTTGTTGGTGCGTGTTTGCGTGCGTAAATGCGTGATAAGGCTGGCTAGAACTATATCAACGACCTTCTCCTATAGCCTCATGAATTCCTATTTTGTTCTATTCAATAATATTTTCACTTGTCAACAGCAGAGAAACGTACTTGGGTAGAACTTTGTATATTTAAATAATATTACGACTCCGTGACTGAAACCAAGAATGTCAGCAATATCCTCTCCTTGTCGTCGATCTCTTAAAGCACATCGTTTTACCTCAAACCCATGTTCCACTTATGCCTGTTGTAGATCGTTCACGATAATATTTTAACACCATCATGAAACATTTTAAGTCATCGAAAACAAATCGTTCGTAAACACTTGATTGAAGTGTCTGCATGATTTAGAAGTAACAACTTTGTCTGAGTGTGTCATGAACTTTTTAACAAAATCTATTAACTTAACATTGTTCAAAGTGCCCCGTGCGCGTTTTTAAGTGTAAAACGCTGTACCTTAAGAAATGTTTTATAAACCTTTAAATAAAGTTAAAAAGTTTGATTAAGAAAATGTGAAACTGAAATAGGCTATTTTCAAAGTATTCCATATCTCAGGTTTTCGATGTTACAGAGGTGAATATCTTTACGGATATGTAATGCTCGGGTGAACATAAATGCAGAAGACCATGTAAATGATCATCGACACTGTACAAGAACTATGCCTGCCAGCTTTTCTCATTTTTAAATATTTATTATGAATAGAAATATATGCTTTCATGATTCTTTTCAATCATATTAAAAAATATAGCCATTCTTATCTTCTATTTTAAACTTCCTGTGTGTGCATTGTACATAACCAAAATAGAAACTTGACTTCGTAACATTTACAATATAAACTTTCGGGAAGAATAATTTATTAAATCGTTCAAATATCAAGACTTCCGACATTTCCTCATTATAACGACAAAAGCATTTTATTGAGATAATAAACATGAATTTATTGATTTTAATCATCAGAAATAAAGATTTAGCCTCACATATTGAAGACAGAATAGATTAAAATCAATTTAGTGATAAGTTTGAAAAAATATAGGGTCATGAACTCAGTCACTGGGTCAAACTTGGGCAACTCCATATAACTTGAGAAGACCTCCACTAGACAGTTATATGTCGAATATCTAAACGTAGGCTACATACAGTTTCATTTTCTCGATTAATCTATGTAAACTAACATACACCAGGTTTTCCGGAAATATATGAAAACTACGCCACAACCATTTCAATGCATCAATATTCTGCCATTTTATTAAATCAATGTTAAAAAGATCAACAGTCGTGACAGATTAGGTCAACAATAATACAAATCTTATTTGAACAATTGACATAAAAATCAGTGACTTATTAAAGGAACATTTTTAATTTCCTTTACATTATAAACTATTGAAACCGTTCACAAATTAGAGAAGCATTAATTTTCAATTCCTTTTACAGGAAATGTAGTTTACTTCTTACTAATTTTGTATAAAATTAAATGATAATGATTGTCTGCTGAGATGGAAAATAGCTAGTTTTTTAAGTCTTACATTTACTAAACTATACGTACTAGGTATTGTTCTGGGTCCACAAAATGATTTACACTGAGTGCCTGAAAAAATAATTGCCTTATTATATCAGACATATAGAACAGAATCAAGATTTAAGAGGACCTAATAGTGGAATGTTTGAGAATCAACATAATCACATTCATCCTGCTATCAAACTGTATCATTACACACAGCGTCAAGCTATTGCAGTTTAAAACTTTGATTGAAAATATGTATAACATATGTATATATTTGTGCATAATATCATACAATTTAAGATATACTATGCCAATATGGGAATAAAATTGTTTCATTACAGAAATTAATGAAATCACGGATTTACATTTTAATGTTCATTTATAATGTATATATTGAAGTGATAACAAAGTATGTGATAACAGATGAAATAATGCATGCATGCGATACCGAATTCATAGCTTTTTATACAACAAGGATCAGAAGAGTAGTAATGTTTAATCACTTTTGTAAAGGGATCAAATTAATATCCTTAGCACTATGTCACCTACATGTGATGTCCATACATATCTTTTAAATGTAATATAAATCCGTGATAAAATATAAAAAAAAATCATGATGATGTCTAATTTGAACAAAAGAACGCAGGGATACAGCATTCCTTTTAACAAGTCAAGCTAAGATTGTACTTACTGAAAAAAGTATTTTGTAATGAACTGCCGGTATGTATTCATATTATGTTTACTTATAGTTTTTAGAGTTCTAAACGTGACATGTCTACTCTATGTTAATTTAACACATGTTCGTTTTACAATTACAGAATTAGAAAATATGTAGCAATTATTGATATTTTGAAATATATCAAAATTGAGCATAGTATATCTTTAAGATGACTTATTTAAAATTCAATTACAAAAGGTATATGCTTAAACTAATTTCTCTCTTTACTGGAACATTCAAAGCTATAAAAAACAACTTTTTATATTTATCTTGAAAATAATTTGAATTAAACATACATGGAATATAATGGGACAAAAAGTCATTCTACATATTTAAAGTATTCTGTTCAAGATACAATAGAAGTGTAGATACCTCTAATAAACCATAGAAGGCACATAAAACAGTAAATTCCCATTCCGATGTTTATCCAATTAAATGAAGTAAAATATAAAAATGATTCTTTATATATGTATAAATCCGATTGTTATAAAAAAGGAAGTATTGTCCCTAAACAGTTCACGATACACTCAAATTGTTAATAATAAAAGAAAAAAAAAACATTAATTGTTCTTAGCTGCATTGTTTCATTGTAAACTAAACCGGAGAATTTATCGAGGATCGATTATAAAATATATATGATATTATTATTTAACCTATTTAAGGAAATAATTTACTGTATACAAAGATTAATTGAGTTAACAGAGAAGTTCGCACAATTGCTTTATTAGTGAAACATGTGTTAGAAAAGGAGAAGAAAAACATCACACGATACTGACATTGAGCTCGAATATAATTTACATACATTGAATAATAAAGTTACATGTAACTTTGAACAACAGTGCAAGATTTGTTTAACGTCTAGTGTCCGATCAATTTTCTCAACATAATCACGACTTGTGATCGACTTATTTCATGTACATGTATGATAGACTTATTTCATGTACACGTATGATCGACTTATTTCATATACACGTATGATCGACTTATTTCATGTACATGTATGATAGACTTATTTCATGTACATGTATGATAGACTTGTTTCATGTACATGTTTATTTCTGCTTTCCAGTATTTTACTGTAATATATCAGATGATTATATTCTGATAAACCACTAGTGAAATCTATAAAATATAATGTTCACTGTAGCCGGACTATATCTGAATGCGGATGAATAGACAAATATAACTAAATGGACTAACGGGCAAAAATAAATAAACAAAATAAATAAATAACGGGCCGACATACGTAAAGTTTGCATCTTTAGTAAAAGAAAGCCGGTGTCATCATACATCATGTTAAAATGTAACAAAATTTAACATAACTATATTTCAATCATGATGATGTGAATTCATGATTTAATGACGTCATAAAGGAGAATGCACGATGTTACGCGGCAAAATCTATTAAAAAATACTTAGCATGAAATAAAAAAATTATTTCTTTTACATATAAGAATGAAATATAGTTCATTCGTGAACACCAGCTTTTCTATTTTCACTCGTGGCTACGCCTTTCGTGAAAATATTGCATCTGGTGTTCATACAGAGAAATATATTTCAATCTTTCTTGCAAAACAAACCTATATCCTCTATATAATTATGTACCCATATTTAGCTCGTCTGTTATAAAACGCTGCACTGTGTTCTGCGAGGGAGATATAATACCGGCTGTCATTATGTAATAATTCGTTATATAACGCTGTGTTTCCAACACTAACTTGAAATGTCCTCCTACCTTAACTTTTGTCAACAAACACTGTAATGGTACCATCCTTTTAACGGCTCGTCATAGAATGTATTTTATGCTTCGTTTTGTCTATAATCAGGAGTAGAGTGAACCTATTTGTAAAATTGGTAACTTATATCTTGATACGATTTAAACTTTTATTAGACTGTTGCGCAATATATCAACACTTGATACACTTTTACATTGGGCTAACTGTAACAAAAATTTTAATAAATATGTTATGCCAAAATGACCTGTAATTAAGGTTTATATAAAGTAGTTTAAGATATTTTATCAAATGAAAAATATGTACAATGTGTATAGTTATCAACTTTAATGCTGGATGGTATAGATATATTGAAATGTGTTATTACATTCTCGCAAATTCCGGCAAAAAAGTAACAAAGTGCCCCTTGGCTAAGTCAAACAAGTAATGTAATTATTGCCGAGTAGATTCAAACCCCTTGAAGTGCAGGCGTTTGT